TTGGAGAGAAATTGACGAACGAAATCAAGATCGTGCAACTCGCTTTCATCATTGTTCGTTGGTTTTGCTTGAATTTGACAACACATGAGGCAAACTAAATCGAAAGAAGATAAACACGAATCGATTCGGCTAAGTAATCTTACCTGCCAATACAAACAAATATTTGATAAAATTGAAAAGTGAACTCATGACTAGTTTCGTAAACGGGTAAGTCTGAAAGAAAGAGTTGACTTTACTTCGGATTTGGATTGATGTGAAAATAAGAGATGAGCAAAGAAAATACGATAGTTAAATAAAAGAAAAATAGGGATCTGAGAGAGAAGTCAGAGAACGGAAGAGGCGGAAAGACATGTCAAACTTGAACATTAACTGATTATTATGATCAGGTTGATGTCGGTGAAGATTTAATTTCATTCTTTTCTTAGCCTTCCGCCTGTTTCCTTGACGAGATCAAATATGTACTATCGAAATAATTGATGCAGAACATTTCGCATGATATCATATTTTCTTTCTAGAGAAGTCACATGCAAGGGTTTAACTTTCATGCAAATTTTATATTCTTTGTCTAATCAAGGAAATACCCTCATCCTTGTTTTGAAAGTCATTTTAATCAGCAGTCAGTTGTGTAAGATTCAACATGACACGTCGGATTGTTTACACATTAACTAATTCTTCAAGATTGAACACTGTTTTCATTCGACTAGAAATACTTACTTACCTTTGTTTTTTGATGATCTCAGTCGGATATAACCGAGTATCATTGGAAACGTCAGAAGAAATAAGTGAACATATCAATCACGATTCATGTCAATCGACAGATTTGATTTTGTTGAAAGAAAAGTTAATAAGATATTTCATTGTTAATTCGACAAAGACATCCATCTGGCAAGAATGTCATTCATTCGAAAGAAAAGACAATTCTCATGTTACTTTTTCAATTGAAACACATGCCGAGTTATGTGAATTACAAAGAAAAAAAAGAGGTTAATGTTCTAGAGAGGTCAGCAAGATCTCTCTGCACATCCGATGTTTGATTTCATGACGTCTTTTGTCATCAGTTCCGAGTTGCTCGCTTGGACTTCCGTTTTGAACTCCCCGTTCAATTGAAATAAAAGCTTCATTATTACTCTCATAAGTTCGTTTTGTAATGTCTTCTTACGCACGCATAGAACGAACATCATTATATGATGTTTCTGTTTAACAGAAGCTTAGCTGCTTTCGTCTATTATCGAACGATGCGATAGCGAAGGTTCTATTGTAGGAAAAGAAAAACGAAATGCGTAGTGTCAGGTGGAGATATTCGCAGATTAGAAATCGGATCCCGTTATAACTGAAAGGTAACTCGATTGTAATGATTCCAGTTGTTTTTTAACATTCAAACCACAAGCAATGGGCTTCCTACAATTACTTAGTTTATCAGTCAATGTACTCTGTTTGATTCAAAAAGTGCCGCAAATATATCGGATTTATAAGACCAAGGATGTCGAAAGTATTTCAATCGCATCGGTCTTGCTTGAAGAAACAGCGTAAGGCGAGACTTCTTGAAGGTAAATGAATATTGATTGAAATAATTTAGTTATACATTGGTGCTGACATACAATCTCTGGCGAAATTACCCACTGTCAACGTTTTTCGAATACGTCTTTCTTTTCGTTCAAGGTAACTAAAGAGTGGCAAAGAACGAATTGATGAATATTTAAGTCCTCTGCTTTAGATTTACTTCTTTTATTAGCAATATGGAAATATTCGAAGAAGGATAACAAAGATAAAGACAAATTGAGTGATCCATCGACACCATTGTATGGAATACTAACGTAAGATCATCTCTTCGCCGTATGTTTTTTCATCTATAATGACTGAAATCATCTAGATTTTGTTTGTATTTACTCATCAGCGTCGTGGGTCTCGTACCCAGCGCATGGATGCGTATGTGCACCGTAAGAAAATCTGTATGAATCTACAAAATTCTGTCCTATTCATATGAGTAGATGCTCGTAATCCCAATTGGTGCTTCATCGAAGATCGCTCAACTACGAATTATCCTCACAAACAAAAGTGCCGGTCAAGTCAGTCGACCCGGATGGATGATTGCTTGTTACAACAATTTTGGTAAGTGTCCTCACATCTGTGATACTTCTTGTCGAATTGACATTTTTCGATTTGTAGCTCGCATCATAACCAATCTTGTCGAAACTCGAGATATGAGTATGGTTTTGAATTTATTCATTAGTTTAATATTGAATCTATCGATTGTTATTGCCTGTACGATTTATAAGTACGGACCAGTGCGAAAATCCAAGGATAAGAAGAAGAAAAAGACAACTTAAAGGATACAACACAAACACGGACATAACCAACATCGATATGAACTGAATGAGATGATTCGATTTGCAATTAAAGAAAGCATAGACAACAATTAGATATATGATTAGGATCATCCGACTTAAGATATTCGAAAAAGAGGTGTTTTGCTCGATCTTCTTCCAGTTTGTCTTCTTTACTTAATTGTTGAAAAGATTTCTCGGCTGTTGTTTGATCAACGCCAAAGAATTGACATGTTTTTACCCATTCATCCCGTGCGATATAACCATCATGATTCAAATCGAGCATATTAAATGTCGTATTGATACGTTGTGATAATTGTTCTAAAATTTCCGGATTAGTATCAGGTTTATGCAATTCATCGGCGAGATGTTTATGGAAATCGAGCCATTCTTCTGCAAAGAAAAAACCGAACATTTCATTTCGAACAAAAATTATCATCATGCAATGTGTACCTAAGGTTACTTTGCCATCCTGATTCGCGTCTGCTCTCATGATTTCTTGACAGAGAGTCTTCCGTGCATTAGCATAGTCTTCTCGTCGTTGTTCATCTTCCTGTCCGACAAGAGACGAGAGTTTATTTGCGAGAATTTCGAAATCTTTCGGTGTTATCGACCCATCACCGTCCACATCTAAACACATAAATATCACAAAGCAAGCGATATGCGAGTCTATCGAAGTTACCATAAAGATAAAATAGATGTTTCATCTTTTCATTCCAGAATGAGTTCGGTGAAGTCGTCTGAAATCAATTCGACATCGATCTAGTCCAAGTCCGTAAATCAGACTTACCATTGTGTCTCGATTTGAAGACTGAATACTCGATACATCGAAGGCGAGATTTTTTTTCTTTTTTTTTTCTCTTGAGAAACTCCGATCTCTCTCATAGAATAAATTATCTCTCCGACACGATGTCAACATCATCGTTAGATTATTGTATTGTGTGTTTTTGTCGTTACGCACTCTCATACAATCGAACAAAATAATAAGAGTCTGTCGAATTGGGAATAATTTATGTATGCACACCATTTTCAAAAGCTTTGTATCGTTTTCGTCGTCTCTCACGAGGTCCAAATCGAATCAAAAGCGAATTCTATTCATCAAAACTATATACGAGTACTGATGATACTCGACGGCATTCTTCTTGCCAATGTGTGTTTGTTCTAAACGATGATAATTCTAGTCGATTCACTTCTCTAACTCATTCATACATGTAGATTTATAATTAGATAATCGATGTGCATGCTTTCGTAAATACCATCTATTAGATTTCAATAATTTAGTATGGAGAAACGATTGAGTATACAAAACAGTGGAAAATTGCTTTGTCGACCTCGATCGTACATCCTTTCTCTCGGCTGTATCGAGTGATTATATGCTTGTTTATTATGATAATTTACACAAAAAGAAAAAAAATAGAAATGTTCAGATTAAAAACCATCTAAAACACAAGAAATGAAATTCAACCTGAGAATAATCGTTCGAAGACACTTACATTGATGTTCTGTGATACGCTCTCCTTGTGCATATTCAGGATTGTCAACAAGTCCATCACGATTCGTGTCGTACATAGCAAACTTTCTCGGATCTAGAAAACAGTTCACTAGTTCTCATTCATTGTCGATCAACTTTACCTTCAACTCGAGAGAATTCGTTGATGTTCAATGCACCATCTCGATCGACATCAGCGACGTTTTGTTCGATTCGATCGAGTTGTTCTCGACCATCGAGGATACCATTGCGATCAGCGTCGAAAGCAGACATGATTGAGAGAGATAGATTCTCATTAAAAAGCAATTCATCTCTTTATATACCATAAACGACTAAAGCTATTAATAGCGTGAATTTATTCATCTATGACCATGACTCCTTTGACGTCAAAGGGAAAGTGGCCAGGGTAAGGTGAAAAAGTAAAACGTCGAGTTCGTTTTTTGTATAGATTTATTGAACTTAATCATGTATGTTTTTATTCTGTTAAAAGAAAGAGAGAGAGAGAGAGAAAGGATACGGCGCGCAGATGGTAAAATTCGGTGAAATAAAACTGATAGCAAAAAAAAAAAGAATTGGGATTAACCAGTAAAGGATCCCGCACTAATAACAGACAAAACAAAAGAGAAAGCAGACAATGAGAATTAACAAACAAAACAAAAAACGAATGAGTTTGTTGCCTAAGATTAAACTATTCTTTCAGATAGAAAAGAAAAAACGATATTCTGTAAAACAGTGATCATTGGATAAAACTACTCGAGAAAGAAGCAATATGATGATAAAGAGAAAAAGAAACGGCCTGGATTCGGATGTTTTTTCTTGTATGTGTATGTGTGTGTGTGTTTGTATATACAAAAACAAAACGAAAGAAAAACTTTGTATATAGTTGAAGTTTATCGGTACATATATTGAAGTTTGAATAAGTCTTGTTCAAATTCTGCAAATAGAAAACAAAGATAAATCAAATATTCAATAAATTAGGCGTTTGATGCTCATGCAAAGAATCGATCGATTCATGCGAGATGGAAACCCTTAAAAAGAATATTTTCCCCCTTTGATTTCAGTCACTTACAGTCGGACCAATCAACATCGCTAGAGAAAAATAAATTATCGGAAAAAGAAACAGCACTTTCGTTCTTCTCGGAAGGTTTGCTACTTTCGCATCGAAAGATCATGAAACAAATAACTTACTATGGTAAATGACGTGATGTTTCAGAACCAAAAACGATCTTTTGAGAATGCGAAGCCTTTTCTTCGCCTTGTTCGTTGAATAATTTCGTTTCACATGCCGTACCCATACCCCACGAATCCAATTGATCGTTGACCACCTGCGATGGTGGACGATGGTGCGCATTTTGAGCGCCACGAGCATAGATTTTCAATTCATTTCCATGTTTAATAATCAAACCATAAGGAATTATATAGGAGATCTCTGATGAACCTTCAACACGTCGCTTTAATGTCCAGTTGGATACGTCAACATCTTTATCAAGCGAACTGTTTTCTAATGTTATACATTTACCATCAGGTGCGCAATCCTCTGAAAAAAACAAAATGACGAAAATAAAATGAATTCATAAAGAAACCAACAAAAGAGAAAATCATAGTCAAAATCGAGCCTTGATCATACCGGGTGATACGACTGTTTTGTACGTTTCTAGATAAGAAATATTTTGTGTTAGAAAGATTGATAACACTAAAGGACACTTAGTGACTTGGATAATACGTTAATACAATTTGAAAGCAGAAAATTGAAGGCAATTGACCTTCAACATTTTTTTTTCATGAATTGAGCGTGCATACATTAGTACGAGAAAGAAAACGGCGCGACACTATGTCTGAAGGGTGAGTCTACTTGAAAGAGTGTCAGTTGAAAGTTTATTTATGAAACTGTTCGAGTACGAAATGCTGATTAAATCTGACTCGTTTTATTGATCTACGTACTGATAGCAATGGGTCCTTTCTTGATTTTCTTGTTGAAAACTTTGCCGAGTTCGCTGCCGAATGACGGTGGCGTTGGTTCGGGTGACAAAACTTGTTCGACGGGTGGTTGTGCAAGTCGATTAGTTTCGCTATCTAACAATCGTCGATAGATATTGATTTCTGATTCGAGTGTTATATTGCTAAAGAAGAAAGAAAGGTTTCTTCTACGAAGGTTTCCTTCCGTTTTGTTTACCTTTGTAAAATTGTGTCAATCTCTCCGGTTAAATTTTGAATGCGTTCTTGTGCGGTCGACAATTCTTTGTTGATATTATCATTGGTGTCGTCCCGTTGATGACGTAAATAGTTATATTCTTCTTCGAGTTTACTCAAACGTTCTTGTAAATCTTTGTAGAGATCTTTTTCATGAATCAACAGTTTCTGAGTATCACCTAATTCGAATTTCGTTGATTTGATTTGTTCGGACATTTTCGTCAGATTGTCTTGTTGCAATTGGACAGGCACAAGTTTCTTCGCATTGTTTTGAATCTCTTCGATTTTAACTTTGTAGTAGTCCTCCATTTCTTTACGTTGTGCTGAATGTAAAGTGTCAAAATCACGACGAATATCACGAATAGCTTTCTCTAATTCTTGACGGTAGAATAATTGAGTGTCAATACCATTCGTTGGTTTTAATTGTTCGAATTCGCTACGCATCAAACAAGAACTTTAATAACTATTGGATCTTTCATATGATTCTTACCTGATTAAATGTGTGTGAATATCGTTGAGAAAAGGAATTTCTTCTCGAAGTGTTTGTACTTGCAAATCTAATTTGATTCGATCCAATGTTGCTTTGTACGATAGTTCGTTGAGTTGGTTGATTTCTTGAAGGTAATCTTCACGTTGTTGAAGTAAAATCTTTAATTGTTCTTCGACTTGTTTGTACGAGCGTTGTAGGGCAGTCAATTCTACACATGAATGTTCGTATTCTAGTTTCAATTGTTCACGTTTTTCTTCTTGTCGATTGTTCCATAGGGTCTCATCGTGTATCAATGATCGGTAATTATCAATATCGTAATGTGAACGACGTAAACGTGTTTGTAAATCGGCTTCGCCCAGCATACTTTCGTTGACTTCTTGTCGAAGACGATCGAGTGAACCTGAGTATTGAGAAACGATCGCTTGAGAGGCAGTGCCCCATGTCTTGGTGACATCTTCGAGTTGACTTGTTAATTTAGAATTTTTGTTCTCAAGAACTTTGACCCGATCGAGATAGCCGCGGAAGCGATCGTTTAATTCGGCGAGTTCTTGTTTTTCACGTTGATGTTGTTCGCGAAGGTTATCGGTGACTTGGCCATTCGATGATTGAGTTAGTAATGAAAATGAGGAATTATTGCTTGTTTCATTGGGAACATATCGTTGCATTGGTGAACGATTTCGTGTACCTTTTTCGATCGAAACCGAACGCGTCGATGTTTTCACCGTCTCACCGACACCGGACGACATTGGACTGTGCGTTTTCGTTATTGAAACACTATGAGCTGGTACGATATCCGCTGGAGGATTAATTGATATATCCGAGTGAGACACTTCTGTTGGTGTTAATGTTGACTAAAATCAAACGAGATGTTGAGAGAGATATATAAAATTGAGTCGAAATTAATTTCAACAATGAAAGGAAAAAAAGCTTTGGACGAGACGAGACGCCTTAGAAGTTACGTCGTCGCTGTAATTCATCAATGAATAACATATGTTCAAAACGGTAATAGGCTTATAATTGATATTTTGTACATGAAGAGAGTCTGATGAGAAAAGGAGAAGAAGAAAAACGAACGAGAAAAAATTTAAATCTCTTCATCACTGCTCAGACAGGTTCTTTATATACACGCACAATATATGGGAGAGAGAGAGAAAGCGCAAAAAATGAGAATGTGACAAAGGTATCCGAAGTATAATTCTAAGGCACATACACAATACCAGCAATGGGAAGAAATTTATGAGAATTGAGCATGATGAAAACAAAAAAAAGGCAAGAGAGACACACACCTGAGTATATAATGTCACGATTCTAAATCATATCGCTGCCATGAGAGAGTATCAACAAAGATTCTCGAATTAAACATTTGTTAATGTCCTTTTCTCTTGCTCTTGATGTTAGCATTGGTCCGTATTGTTTTTCTTCTTATCTCTCGAATAATCAGACCGATTGTCTCTGATTTTCATCCCCCCCCCCCTATATCTATCAATCGATGCCTGTCTTCATATGCCCGATTGTTTGACATTATATATCTCAAATAACCCCTAAAGCACAGGTGATTTGTGATGCATGTAGAATGAACAAAGGCCGTTACTTCAACTTTCAACATGCATCTATACATATGGAAATCATCATGCTAATTAGAATTCGAATCAGAAGCAAAAGACAAATCTACCTGTTCGGTGAGACTTTCGTCAGTTGGTTGTTTATCTTGTTCATTCTCGATTATTGAATACACATCCGAAGGAAAAGATGAGGATAATGAATAATCAGTGATTATATCAGTATCAAGATGTTCATCATCACCAACATCCGTCATTCCTTTCGGTCTTCAATCTATCTTTCAGTCGTAATAATAATAAGAATGATCCCGATGAGAATCGAAAAAAAAACAGATTGGTGTTGTGCGGTTTGATTAGAGTGAATGAAATAGGAGAAATTTGCTTCTCGATTTCAATTCGAACCTGCGTGGCAACAAAACTACAATGTTCATATACTTATATTGTTTCTTTTTTCTCTTTCATCAGCAAATTCGCCTTCTCTTCACATTTCCAAGGACAAAAAGACATCAGTCGAATAACACCGAAAGAAGCCTATCAGTGCAATAGTCGCTTATTCATTAGAAACAAAATCATCAGCAGCATTGTATACATATATGTCGATGTACTACTACTACTAACCAGAAATTTTGTTTTTTCTTCTACATTAATCATATTCTCATCTACATGACGACTCCCTATGGCTGCTCGAACCGCTATATTTCAATAATAATAATCCTAATCACTTACATACGAGAAATACACATATATTTGCGTATAAGAAAGAAAAAAGAAACATGCTGTACCTGGATAGCGTTTGCTGTTATTGACCATCTTCGTTATTATGAGAAAAAACAGAAGACAAAGCTTGTCTTGTTCGATCGACGACTAATTGAATAAAATCTATTTGAGTTGGTGTTACCTAGACGTATATGGTCCGTCTGTCTGTTCATTTTACATCTGATGGATGATCCTTACGACAACACCTATACTTTACATTTATCCGCCCATCATTTTTTTTCCTCTGTCTCCCTATCCGTTCGCTTGCTTGCGGTCCATGTCTATCTCTCTCTCTCTCTCTCATTAAATTCAATCGTTTGGAATAAACTTTTGTTAAGTTTAATTTGTTCGACTCAAGTGAGTGAACAGAGCAAAAGAAAGAAGAAGAAAGAGAAAACGAGCGAAACAAAGCTTATAAGTAGAGTTTTGAAATACTTCACCTCACTTGTCGATGTCTTGTAGTCTTGTACAAGTATTAATTGAAAATGAGTCTTTACTGTTTATTTTCCCTTTTAAATATTTTGTCAAGGTAAAAATCGCGGCTTTTTTTTCTGCACTGCTCCATTTCATGAAACGCACTAACAGAAGCCAATGAAAGAGAGGTAGAGAAGAAAAAAGTTGCGGTTATTATAAGCACACAACCGTCCTACATCTTATGAGCATTGAATAACGCCAAAGAAAACGTCATCTAATTATTTTCATTATTTGATAAAGAACGATTTGCCTCACGTTGTGCCATATTTGAACAGTTCAAGGCTCGACTTCTTTTTATTCTTTAAGTGTACATCTCTTTCTTATTTGTTCAGATGTGTGTAAAATCCAAGATAAACATACGATTATGCAGAGAATTCGTCAAATGTTCGAGTGCCTACTCACTGGCTGAGAAGTAAACATATGGTTTTGGCACTTGCCAAGATCATATGTTAAGTAAACAGGGTCGACACGGATTCTAATAAATAGACGTTTCTCTGCCTTTTCAAACATTTCGTTGCTACCTGACAATGATAGCAACAACCTCCAGCTCAAAGTTAATTAGTATTACGAAAGAAAATAGTTACAAGATTGTCGAGCAAATAAAACAGTTGTATTTCACAAGAAGAAAAACTTACGCTTGGTAATGGCATTCTTTGCACGACTATGCAGCTTGCTTACCAATGTAACCTTTCTAACAATGTAGGTTTTTTGTTCTATGTATAGATGATACTTATGAACGTCTTCATTGTACGAAATACATGACCTTCTTTTTCGTATCATCAGTTTTTTTTTCTCTTCGTTGCTCATCCCACTATGATCAGTATCATTGTCTCATACGTTATAGGTTTCTGTTCAATTTTCATATTGTCCTTCAATCAAGCAACTCATCATGCTCATTCGTACATCGACACAAAATCATATCCTATCATATCGTATTATATAGGTCTTCATCATCGATGAGTTTCATATCCTAATCAGTCACGAGTGACACTCCCTAACACCTTTCTTTCGTTTTTTTTTTTGTTTTACTTATTATCATACAATGAAAGATGTATTTGCTTTCGATTTTTATGTCTTTGATACGAAACGAAGTTATTCAGAATTTTCAAACATATACATATCTTTAAATTATCATCGATTTCTTCTTTTTTTCCTCTTTTTCTACGCGTCAATGAACTATACATTCAAGTTCAATTTTCTCGGTCACTACATATCATCTTACGCCCATTCATTTTTATCCACTTGTCTATGGCTCAGAGCAAATATTTCGACTTTAAATAATCACTTCTTACTTCTACGTATATTCAAAGCGCACAGTTCTGTCGTCAATCACATATGAAGAAAGATTTTACGTAATAACATATCATTATTATCAATACTGCAACTAGTTGTATGATCATGTACACGCTGAGTGACATGTACAAATCAACAATACTAACACGTTCGATCTAATTCTTTCTGATTACAAAACGAGAAGAAACTTAGACATACTCTAAGTCGATATATGTGTATGTACATTGTTCAGTAGCGAAAGAAAGAGGAGAAAGTAAGAGTTATATCTTCTCCCAAGTGGGTATGTGTCTATTGACTTAACTCGGCTACATAGAATATCGAACGAAGTAAACTATTCTGTTGATGAGGTCCGATGGACAAGAAGACAAAGAAAAACAACGCTGGAAACCTTTTTTATACAAAAGAAAGGAAGACACTCAAGTTTTAATTAATCAAATCTTTTGATTAAGAACAAAACGATATGATAGATCAGAATGAACTTTGACGTTGAGAAGAGAGAAGCAAAGCAACGTAATCATCGATTGAAGATCATGATTATTTTCTTTTTCCTCTAACCCTTAAGAAAAGGGAGAGAGAGTACAATTCGCGCCTGTGATATATCAATTGAGATAAAACAACACGTCAATCATTTCTCATCATCAGCGAAATAAACCATTCGATAGATAGGACAAACTCAGTCAAGCTGAACTAAATAGAAGTTCACTCGTTCGTTCATTCATGTAAATATACAAGAAAAGATAAAAAAGAAGCATCAATAGGAAGACAAACTCTTCTTCTTCGATCAGATCAATATACAACGAAAGAACAAATGAGCCGCATGTAATTTTTTTATCACTAACATAACTTACATTTTCCGATTGAATAGGAAGAGGATGCAACGACGACGACGGCGGCGGAGGAGGAGGAGTATTTATTTGTGAGACAACGATTGGTTGGTCACTATCATTCGTTTGAAATGTATTTATCAATTTCGATACAGTTGATGAGCTTGAATTGTCTTCATTATTGGGAATTTGTATTTCAAGTGGTTTAAATGCTGAATCTAAAAGCGAAGAACATTATAAAGATTAGATTGTTTCAATCATCTTCAATACATACTATTGTCTTTCTTATTTTTCTTGCCATTTAATTGTTGATGTTCGTCCATTGCATTGAGATCGTCTTGTAACGATGTTGGTTTATCGATTTTAAGTAAATTTTGAATTTGCTTCTTCAATGACGACTTCTTCGATTTGTTTTTCGATGATTTCGTTTCGTTGATCGATTGACTATCGAAACTGTCCGTCGATAATGGCGAGACTTGTTTTTGATCAGCAGTAGAAAAACTTGACGACGACGGCTTCTTCTTATTACCATTTTTGGCTACCGCTTCGAACACTTTCACGTGATCGGTCACACGTTTCTCTTCCGGAATAACGACTCCGCTCGATGGACTTGATTCTCGTTGATGAGTTGAATGATCCGTATGAGCCAGTGTTGATGACGTACCACTTGTTGAACTTAATTCATCATCGCCACTACCAGCAGGCTTCTCTGTTTCTGTATTCGTTATTTCTGATGAAAGGCCACTGTCAACACCGTGGTCTTGTTGAGATGTTGATAAATCTTCATGTCCGTTCTTGGTCGGCAAACTTGTCGACGAGGAATTATTCAAGCCAATTGATGGTTGTTGGATAACTAATGTATCAGCATAGTTCATTTCATTAGACATGTTAGCTGGTGTACTTGTGAGCCCAGTTACTAGAGCACCGAGTGTCGAATAGGCTTGTGTTTGTACTGGTTGCTTAGATATCTGATTGTTGTTCTGATTTTTATTATTTGACGCTCGACGTTCACGTTTGGTGTTTACCTTGAAATGAAATCAATCCTTTTCGTTGTGTTCAAGACGAAAAAAAACGAAACAAATCAAGAGAAATTCTCTTTCAATCGTTTACTTTTTTTCGAGCTGCTTAGATTTCTTACTTGATGGCCACTTACTTCTATTTCATCAATTATGCACACTGACCATATAGATTGTCGATTTCTTCTTATTCTCTTTCTTCTATGTCCTCGAGAGACAGAGAGAAGAACGTTCTTTTTGTTCTTTTATAGATGAAATGTTTCATCTAATCGTATGAAAGACAATGTCAGCGAGACAGAGAAGAGAGAGAGAGAGAGAGAGAGAGAAAGAAAAGAGAATAGAATGGTTCAAATGCGAAAAATCATTCGCTTTGCTTCTCTTCTTATATATTAGTGTACACATGATTTTGATTATCGAAGACAAATTTTGCTACTTCTCGTTCATATGATGATGATCATCATCATCTCCGAGAAGCGAGTCTTATTTACATTCATCTGTTGTGTAAGCATGGTGTAGTTAAACGAAACCATTCTTTACTTCTTGTGTCAATGTGTGATATGTCTAAGACAACTACTAATAATAGACGCGACTGACCCCTCCTTTGTTTCTCTCTCGTGCACTTTCTGCCAACGTTTGTTTATGGATCGAGGAAAATTTACATAAATAAAAGCAAATTCAAACTGACTTACGACTTTACTTTTGTGCATGACACTTGGTATTTCAATACTCGATGTTTTTCTTTGCAGCTTGTTATGCCTATTGATATTGAAATGAAATGAAATAAGAAGAAAAAATGTTCTAAGAGTGTGTATGTGTGCATATACGTGCAACTTTGTACCCTTCCTCCCACGCTCACTTTCACTCGACTAACGATAGGGATATGCGACGTGACAAATGGTCAAGAATTTAGTCAACAGAAAGTGTATATGCATATGTCGATGGCTGTGTATTTGGAAGAAAGAAGGAAAAAAAGAAATCCGATCAGTATAAAAGAAAAGAGGAGAGAAAAAAATTCGAATTCAACGAAGGAATTAAAACTAAATCTTCAACTACCAGGGCAACAAGAAGTAAAACGAGTTCAATTATGTTGTTACTCGCTTTACCGTTATATATATAGCTTTCTCTCTCCGCTCGTTCATCTCACACATCAGTGAGCAGCAAGAAAGAAAGTAGTTTGATCATAAAAGATATTCATTAACGGATGTACATGCTATTTCTCTCGATTTAACTCGACATAGATTTTTTTCCTCTTATACATATCTCTCTCCCTCTTCCTTGTGTGTGTGTCTCTCGTTTTCGATGTCATTTGCTCTTCCTACTCTCCATTGATTTGGGCAAACAGGAGATGGATGAGTAGATATGAGTCTGTTTTATCTATCTATTGTATCGAAATAAGCGAGACAAATTTTCGATGAGAGGAAATTCGAATGAAGAAGATACGATCACTTCGACATCTACATCGATACTTCTCGTTCAGAAGTTTCATTTTTTTCTTCGAGAACAAAGACATTGCATCTGATGATTAGTTATTACAAGCATCTGTCAGATGTATTTGTAGACAGAACCTACTGTGTGATGTGAGAACATGTTCTTCGTTTTCATAGTGTGTCTTAATCAGCAAACACTGTTTTATTGACAACAGCACAAATATCAAGTTTGCTCTCCGGTTGCATATTTTCTTCGCTAGGAAGATCGATAATGAATGCCGTTTATTTGACGACTGACCGACGGTCAACAATTAGGTTGATTCTGACATCGGTGTCTCTAATTGACTGTATTTGATCATCAATCATCTCTCTTTCTTTTATTTTTATGATTCATCAGTTATTCCCGGACAAGAGCGGAAGCCATTCTTCACCACGAAGAGAAAGAAAAACGAACCGATATTATTCAACATGTACACATTCTTCTTTGTCTCAGTTTAAGTACGATGACGTGTCCATTACCTATAGCATTTTTGTATTCATACTTCATATCAAAAGTGTCTTTCCTTTCAATCGATTGTTTTCATTTCACTCTTATGTTTATCTTTACCTGCATATACTCACTTGAGGTGTTAGATCTCCTTCATATGAATAATACAAAAGTATAATTTGGTAATAAATTTTCTATTGTTTTGAAATAAAAGACATTTCTTTCTTTCTTTCTTTCATTCAATATACCAATGTTGAATGTCTAACGAAGTAAAGCAAAGCTTTATCAGATGTATATTTCATCACATGTTCGATCTTGCGTCAATCAGCGATTAGAATCAACTTGTATAATCGCGTTGCCTTTTTTTTCTCGAAAAGAAAACAAAATATACACGCTAGAGTCTACGAATGAATATCTAAGAAAGTTGGGAGGCAAAGGAGAGGATGAAGAAGAGAATGTCTGGTTATCATTCGGGTATTGTTTAACTGCAGAATGGTCGATATTCAAGAGGAATATCTTCTGGTCGACGAACTAAAATATACAAGCATGATTTAGTGGAAGACTTTGACTTTTTTAAAGCTATTCCGAACCCATTAAACGTCGTTTGTAAACATTGAATTGATAGGCGTTTGCTTTATAGATCTCCTTACTTGCAATAATGACGGTGACTAAATCATCAAAGATATTCTCATGAATGTTATCTGTAGAAGATTATTCAAACATACAAAACGCAGCGAAAGGAATGCCCCATACAACGTGTGGGATATGTTCCATAGAATAGTTGAGTACTGAACGACCCTTGATGGAATATGAAGAAATGAGCAAATTGTAGTAATACACATTGTCTCTTACTTGTGCAAGCCATGGTTGCCAGATTTGCTTGCGATGCATTAGTACAACACGATTATACAGACGCATGGCGAAGAAAAAGAGTGTATATCTAAAAGGTGAGCAAAAACAAATTATATTGAATCTTGAAAAGAATTCATGCAGATAAGAAAATTCTTGTCGATTTTATCATATATGTTCTATAACTGACAATCAATCTGGTAGGTACCAATACGGCCGACACCTTCGATTAAAATGAAGTCTTTGTAAACGTGAACTGTTGCGAATGAATTCGTGTTTGGTTCACATTCGATAACAGCATGCAGGGTTAAATGATGAATGTTTTTTCGGTCACGAAAGTAACCACCGTCATGATCGTGACCGCATATGTAAGCGAGAATGGTACCTTCAAATGTCCAGAGGAGATCTAATACTTCTTTGTAATTCCATAGAAGATCCAGAGGATCGCATGCACTCGGATGAATTGGGATGTGTCCTAGGAAGAAGGAGAGAAACTTTGATTGAGGAGATGGGAAACTGAATTGTACCTATGACAATGATTTTCTGCTGTTTTTCTTTAGCATCGGTTAACTGTTCTTTTAACCATTCTATTTGTTTTGATGATATCCCACCGTTAAATTGAACAAATCTTCGTTGATGTCCGCGTAAGCCCGTCGGATCATTGCAACTTTCATTTTGATTGTACTTTCTGATCAATTCAATGGCTTGAGTATAGACTTTACTATCTTCTTCAATCCCTAATGCACTGAATTCATAGGTATCAAGTGCAAGAATTCGAAGTTGCGGACATACTTCAATGGTTCCATAGTGTCCTGGTGAAGTTATTTTCGTGTCAAATGAACATAACGGTCCATTCAATAGATCTGTTCGTGAGAAATTATACAATTCATGATTGCCCCAAATATGGTAAATGGGTAATGATGGAAAATGTTTGCGAAATGTTTCTAACACATCGTTTAGATCTTTGCTCGAAGTTTTATTTGTAAAACTAATTCCATCAATAATGTCACCGAGTTGAAGAATAAACGAGATTGGCTTTGTTGCACTTAACCAATGTTGACACGCTTCGTCGGTTAATTTCAGTGCATTTCGATACCGTCGCATGTGTGTTTTCGTGTAATTCCAGCGATCATCGTTATCTGCATACTGAATGTCAGTGATCATACCAAACGATACAATCGGTTTTATTGTTTCGTCATAATCGAATGGAGATTGATTGATATCGGGATCGGGCGCGGCAAACATCGATGGCACTGGCGGACTCGTGGATGTTTCATCTTCGTTTATGGCGACGTAAGCCATCTAGAAAAAAGCCGAGTCAAACATATAATATGCATGCAAACTTTTGTGTTGTAGTTTTATTGTTTCAAAGAGAAAAAAATACAAGTAGTTATATCCGTATGAAAAAACGAAAGAAAGAAAGTGTATGTTAGAACAGAAATGTACAGTTAGATCAAAGAGAGAGATAGAGACAAATCTTGATAGTTGATTGGTAAATGAATATGAATATAATGTATCAGTATCGTATTTTACAAAAGAAAAGGAGATTCCTCTTGGGAAGGTCTAAGCTCGTTTAGCTAAAAAGAACAGACGTTTTGAGTTTCTTTTATGACGGAAGATTAGTAGAGAAAAAGAGAAAAAAAAAAGAAAATAATTAATTTCACATAAATGGATTGCTTGAATTGATTGATGATGTGGTGGTATTATTGAATGATGAAGGAATAAGTGGTGGTGGTAATGTTGAGCCTGTTGTGAAACCCACGTTATTCGACGAACTGAGTTGTTCAAGTGTTGGCGGTTTCATCGTATTCGCAAATGGATTGGGTGCTCGAGGAGCAGTTGAGCCAAATGGATTAGTACCTAGAAAGATGTACATAGAATAGCTCGGAACAAGAATAGAATAGCATTCGTTTTTACTTTTTGGATCTGTAACGAGTTTATCGAGATTAACTAAATTACTAAAATTTTCGCCAAGGAAACTTTCTGGTGTTTTGCGCGACGCGGAAATATTTGGCGGAAATGGACTTGGATTAGTTGAATTGGAATTGCTATTGCTGCCAGCAATAGTTGGATATAGCATGCTGCCACCTGCAGGTAAGCCAACATTCGGTGGAGAAATCGAACCTGATAGATTATTATTGTTATCATTTAGCGTGCTGCTGGTAGCAGTAGTCGGTGGAAATGTTGTTGATGGCATATTCCATGGATTCGATGATGCTTGTTGTTGCCCATTGGTATTCGTGGCAATATCTAAACAAGAAGATACTCATCACATAGATCCTATAATCATCGACCAGTAGCGAACGTCTGAGAATATGTTATCGAGAAATTCTTACTTGCGCTCGCTCCAAAAAATTCACTTAATTCATTATCAATTGTTTTTGAAGTAGTGGACGGTGGAGACGTGGTGGTAGTTGTTGCTGCTGCTGATGGCTTGTGAAGGCCATTGGCACCAACACCCCATGGATCAGCAATATTAACGGAAAGACCTGTACTATTATTGTTACTTTTATGATTATTATCGCCCCACGGATTAGCATGAGTGTCGGAAGTTGACGTTCCTGATTGCCATGGATCGCTCATTGCTGCCGCTGCTGCTGTTGTTGTTGTGTTTGCAGAAGTACGACCACTTGGTTCTGATGACCATGGATCATCTAGATGAGGAAGAGAAATTGTAAAATCTGGAAGTGAAAGATTTTTTGTATGCACTTGTAGATGTGGTAAAACCGAGATGAGTCGATGGTCGATTATTAGGTGGATTCCAACCCATACTTGTCGTTGTTGCTGACGCATAGGGATCTTGATGATGATTCGCATCGAAAAGATTTGAATTAGTATTGAAATCAAAGCCCTACAATGCAAGAGCATCGATATAGTTTGTTGTTGTCGTAAACAAAAGTCGATTTACTTGTGTATGAAGAGCATCAGGTGAACCTTCATTGACAGATCGTTCTAAGGCAATTTTAAGTTTCAAGTCATCGTTACGACGGCGTCTTTCTTGGTCTTCAGCCTAGACAGTCAAACATTTATAAATCAACTACTCTCTTCATCTTTTCACATACTTCACGTTGAGATTCTGCTAAAGCGATTTGCATTTGCAGTTGTTCTTCCTCTTGATTTGCTGGTTGTACGAAATCTTTTCCGGCTGCAGCATGTAGGTTATCATTAAATGATGACGAACGATGTGCAATCGAATTAGTTGTATACGGATATGACGTCATACCAAAGCTATCTCCGCCTTCGGCACTGTTGCGCCGCATCGATGTTGAATTGGCTGGACGGGCATATGTGACAGCACCACTTGAATCCATTCCCATTGCTTGTCTTGAAAAACGTTCACGCGCTTCTTGCGCTTTGCGACGTTCGTTACGTAAACGTTCATCATCTTTGAGTAAGGCAACCAACTGTTTGGCTTTTTCACGAACATTATACCCTTGATCTTTTTGTTCTTCGACATATTGAAAATCTTTCAAAGTTTGGATGGCAAAGATATTCTCTTTACATTGTTGACTAACACGTTCGTTGCCATATTTTATCAGATGATCAAGTAAGACTAAGGATTTGTAGACATGTCGCCAGTTTTTGCCGTGATCGTTTAAACGCTTCCAGATAACTAAAACAATGGAAGTGAGATGTTTTTTTCCGCAGATTTCATTGTTTACTTGGCATAATTTCAGCGTAGGCAACAACGTTATCGGTTAAGTCAGCTATTTCATGCATCAATGCTGGCGATGGTCCCCAAGCATCGTTCGATGTCGCCGACCGAACTTTACGCTGAGCTTCGGTATAATTATAAATAACATTTCGTACACCGCGAGCAAGCATCGGACAGGAACGGCTTCTTCTTTTCTATATAGTTCAAAGTTAATATCTAAAAATCATATACGGATAGTCATTATGATAAAATGAAACAGAAAAGAAAAACTGAGATTATTTAATAAATTAACTCAAACTGAAATATCATTGCTTCAAACAAGTTTCTTCGCTTCAAAAAAACCTTTAAGATGACGCATTTGCCAGAATCCAGCGATGACTAGGACGAATAATTGAGCAACCGACCACCACAATACGCGTTGATTCGTTGATTCACTTGTATTACGAAAACGTTCTTCTCGATAACGTTGATAGCTTTGTTCTTTTGTTCTAAACCAAAATAGCAACTTATTAGTTCGAAGAATATCACGAAAACAAAAAACAATCAAGTCACGTTATTGTTTTGCATATTTACAAATAATTATCTTCGACATAGAGGCTCAGGTATCGATCGCTCGATGATTCATACATGCAGGAGAATGTTATGCATATCTACGTACATTTGTTCAACTTGATCTAGTAATTGTCGAACTCGCAGTTGAAGTTCAGTTAACTTTTCATGTGCGCTGACACTTTGATAATCAACAGCATGTTCGCCGACATCAATATCCAAATGAACACGCTAAAATCGAAAGAAAACAATTCGAACAATGTCTTAACATTCCTGAGGATTATCTACCAATTTTTGCCCTCCAAACCAAGCAGTTGAGTTTGAGAACAAACAGATCACATGTTCACCTGGAGTATGTGAAGTAAAGGTAAACCGTCCTTCGCTTGTATACAATTTCGAAAGAACAATCTTATCATCTGGATCTTTCACTTCCACATGCATACCAATACCAGGTGTGGATGGCAGATAGGCATTCGACTTCTCATCGAATAATTCCACTTTGTATTTACCGATAACTAATGTGTCATCGGGAATTTCTTCGATAAAGCATTTGCGTTCGGTTTCACCGATGTGAAAATAGAGTGAAGAAGATAAAGAGATCAACTGCAGACAACAAAAGATGAAAATGAAAATCGATGGGATATTCATGATTTCGATCTAAACATAGATATGTCTGTGCAAATGTCAAAAACAAAACAAGGAAAATAACGAAATGGTTTTCTTCGAATTTATTTAGTAGGTGGTAAAAGAGAAAATATTTGTTACGTGTTTCTTCTTCTTCTTCTTCTTCTTTTTCTATACTAGGAAGACGACAACCAATCAGCAGGGTCGATACAAAACATCTGCATTAATGATCAACATATCGAAGAAAAGCACACTTCTTTCAGGGAGGACATCTCGATGTTACTATGGACTAATCCAACGTTTATTTGTTGGATTTTTGGATTTTTTGAAATTATTATCTAGTTTTTCGAGTTCGTCTATGTCATAGAGGAAATTTTTCAAATTCATTCAGCCAATATCGATGATGATTCAATTTACACGATTATCAATTCTATGAAAGTGTATTCAAGACGGGACTGAGATTTGGCTGAATAGAAACCTTTCGCTCTCTCTCTCTCGCACGTGAAAAAAGTCGTTCTAAGTTGTTTACTTTCGTTTTCAGATTCATCCTAGCAAATGGCCATCGGCAAGAACAAAAACGTCACAAAAGGTGGCAAAAAGGGAGGAAAAAAGAAAGTGTAAGTTGCTCGACTTCGAACATCTTCCGAAAATTGTGCGAGACTTTCTCGTCTAGTGCTGATCCATTCTCGAAAAAAGATTGGTATGATATTAAAGCACCAGCTAACTTCGAAGTACGTAACCTCGGTCGTACACTCGTCTCACGAACAACCGGCACCAGTATGTGTCTATTTCTCTCGGTTGGTTCTTTGAAATAACTGTTTGCGTTTCAATAGAAATCGCTTCCGATGCTTTGAAAGGTCGTGTATTTGAATCGTCACTCGGTGATTTAGTCAAACACGATGATGAAGATAGCCATCGCAAATTTCGATTTGTTTGTGAAGACGTCCAGGGTCGTCACTGCCTAACTAACTTCCATGGTATGGATATGACCACAGATCGTCTTCGTATGCTCATCAAGAAATGGCAGGTAAATCGAGATGAATCATTGGGATAGATCGAGTTTTTCAATCAAATTTTACGTGTAGACATTAGTTGAAGCTCAAGCTGATGTTCGTACATCTGATGGTTATCTTTTACGTATTTTCTGCATTGGTTTCACCCAAAAAATGCGCGGTCAAATCAAAAAAACATCCTATGCCCAACATACACAAGTTTGTCCATGTTTTTCTCTAAAATGAATCCATAAACTTCAGTTTCGACTAGATCAAAGCCATCCGCAAGAAAATGGTTGAAATTATGACACGTGACATTGCTGGTAGTGAATTGAAAGAGGTTGTTAACAAACTGTAAGCACTCTTATCGATGAACTTCGATAGAAAATACATTCGACTGTTTGTTTTTAGTATTCCGAATAGTATCGGATCCGAAATCGAAAAAACTTGTCGTGGAATCTATCCACTACAAAATGTTAACATCCGCAAAGTGAAAGTGTTGAAGAGACCGAAATTTGATGGTAAGCGACCTTTCGGTCGGGGAAATTTTTATTCACTGTTGATTTTTAGTTGCACGTCTTATGGAAATGCATGGTGAAAGTTATAGCAGTGTAACTGTCGATGAAAAAGGTCAACGCATCGAACGCGGCGATGGTTATGAACCACCAGTACAAAGTTCTGTTTAGATAATCAACAACAATTTTCTACATAAACAGAGTTCACATTCGATCACACTCTGTCTGAATAAGAAAAAAATATACATACATATAACGATTCTTGTTTTGAACCGTTAAGAATAAAAATCGTAAAACAAAACAAATCTGAATTCGCTTTCTATTGCATGTGACTGAAATCCGTATATGATGATTCAATTAACAAAAACATGGAAGATGAAGACACACCTTTTTTTCCTTCATACTGATGCGAAGGTTAGTTTCGAGCTTCAATGTTGTTTCGTGTCAATGTATATGGTGACAGCACTTTCATATCGTGTCAGACCCATGCTTTTCGGCTATTTTAGATATTCTTTTGGAAAAGAAACGTTAAACCGACAGCTCTAAACTAAACACTCGACTAGACGAATTATTCTGACAATATCTCTCGTCTAGAATGATAGCAAATAGATATATTCTTTGTTATTCTCGCCTTCGATATCCCTCGATGAAATAATGATTTTCCTTTACTATTCGTCTGATTATTTCTGCTTAAAATCAATGATAATGTTCGTACATTGACCTTATTGGCTTTTCTCAGTAAGTCATGCTCCGACGGTCGGATATTGGTTTGTGTTACATTCAATAGTGTTATATACATTTGTAAAGGCGGACTATACATGATATGTCTATTCGGATGTTGACGGCCATGCTTTTTTTCTTTTCTTTCTTCTGTTCTCTTTATAAATCATGACTTGTCGTCAATATGTAAGCAAAAGAAAATAAGAATATGTTTCATATCGTCATTCATCATCATATTCGTTCTATAAGAAAGCAGCAATAAGCAAAGACTACGTTGCATTTCATCATCATCATTATTATTAGATTCCTTCACCTGGCGCCATATAAAAACACGATTTTTTCCATTTCAGATTGAAACTACTAGTTAAAAAAACCTAAAAAACAATCATGTGTGGTAGGTGATTTTGATTTATCGGTGAGGAAAGGTTTTTCTCATTCACTTCCGATGTTTAAGGTATTTTCGGTTATTTGAATTATTTGGTCAAACGCGATCGTCGATTCATTGCTGATATTCTCATCAATGGTCTTCATCGTTTGGAATACCGTGGTTATGATTCATCCGGCATTGCCTTCGATGGTGATGAATATCTAGGTCAATCAGATGATCCATCATCGAAAGCCAAACGTGCATGTATAGTCGTCCGTCAAAAAGGCAAAGTTGAAGAACTTGAACATGCTACAAAATGTACGTGCTTATGGAAGAAAATAGGTTAGAAATGATGTATGCTTGCTTGTAGCTTTGGAAAATATCAACTGGGATGCTGAATTTACTGTTCATGTCGGCATTGCACATACACGTTGGGCAACACATGGTGAACCAAGTGCTGTGAATTCCCATCCCCAACGTTCTGATGAACAAAATCAATTCGTTTGTGTTCACAATGGAATCATCACAAATTACAAAGATATCAAACAATATCTTGTAAGAGAAAGAGAAGTTTTATTGTTATAGGAAGTTTGACCTTGCTGTTTTAGACCAACAAAGGTTATCAATTCGAATCGGAGACTGATACTGAAGTGGTCGTCAAATTAGTTAAATATCTTTATGATAAACATAAGAATGAAAAGATCACATTTCAAAAACTCATCGAAATGGCTTGTTCACAATTGGTAAAGACTATCGAAAACAAACTTCTTTTGCATGACCGATTCGTTTTTAGGAAGGTGCTTTCGCTCTTCTCTTCAAAAGCACACACTTTCCAGGTGAACTATGTGCTACACGGTAAGATTGCAATCGACTTCGCAGGACAAATGTTCATATTTGGTTGTTCTAGTCGTGGAAGTCCAATGGTTATTGGTGTTAAATGCGCTGATCAACTTGCTGCTAATCATATTCCAGTCATGTTCAGCAAAGGTAATTAGAGATCAGTTTGTTTTTCTTCTGTCGTATAATTTTCTGGAGAAATTAGACATTTCCAATGCCCGACTTACGAAAGGTAATTCGTATTAACTGTGTTGTGATCTTTCTATCTGACCCCAACGTAATCATTGATTGAAGCATGGGTGCTAATAAAGCTTCTAGAACCTATATAAGCCTTCCGTGATGCTTTGTATAGTCTGTATATCTCTCCCTCTCGCTCTGTTCTAAACATATGTAAGATATTCCACTGTTTGAAGATCGTTTGATGTGTTCCAGGAAAATGAAGAAATTTTGATTAAAACAGAGCAATTGATTTTCTATAGATCTATTCAATCATCAAAACACAAAAGATTCTCGAAATGATGTTCATTTGTCCGAAACGACTTCATCAAGTAAACAAATTTCTCATGTTCTTTCACGAGATCTATACAGATGCATGCATTGCTGATTTTCCTCTCTTGTTGCATGATATTTGCATGACTAAACAAAGAATCTTGTCTCCAAACACACCATTTCACAAATACTTTTCATATTAGACCTACGTGGCGTCTTCTCACCTCCATTGATGATTACTGATCAAAACACATCAGAACTCTCCGTAACTGGCAATGATCGTAGTATTGAATACTACTTTGCTTCTGATGCCAGGTAAGAATTCACCGTTCAAGATGTGATTTCTCTTAGGAGAAAAACTTGAATTATTGATTTCCAACAAAAACTATCGCTTTCTTTCTCTGCAGTGCTATTATCGAACACACAAATCAAGTTATTTTCATGGAAGATGATGATCTTGCTGTTGTCAGCAATGGTGCATTAACCATTCATCGTACCCAACACGGTGAAGTTTCAGGTCAGTCAGCTATTCGTGAAATTCACGAACTTAAGATCGAATTACAACAAATCATGAAAGGTAGATCTATTCTTCGGAATATATATTTTCAACTGTATGATCTTCTGTTCGAAGGAAATTATAAATATTTCATGCAAAAAGAAATCTACGAACAACCCGAATCAGTTGTCAACACGATGCGTGGTCGTGTGAACTTCAACACACGAAAAGTTGTACTTGGTGGCATCAAAGATTACATCAGTGAAATTCGTCGTTGCCGTCGATTGATTTTAATCGCTTGTGGTACAAGTTACCATTCAGCTGTTGCTACACGGCAATTGCTGGAGGAATTATCTGAATTACCAGTTATGGTCGAACTCGCTTCTGACTTTCTCGATCGCAATACGCCAGTCTTTCGTGATGATGTTTGCATATTCATTTCACAATCAGGTGAAACAGCTGATACTATCTTAGCTTTACGTTATTGTAAACAACGTGGTGCACTCATCGTTGGCTTCACCAACACAGTCGGATCGAGTATTTCACGTGAATCACATTGTGGTGTTCACATCAACGCTGGACCTGAAATCGGTAAGTGGAAGGAATGAGTTGATCCAATGAAAATCGTTTGTGTTCAGGTGTTGCCAGTACCAAAGCTTACACAAGTCAATTCCTTGCGCTTGTTCTCTTCGGTCTTGTCTTATCCGAAGATTCGATTTCAAAGGAACCACGGCGCCGAGCTATCATTGATGGTCTTCAACAATTACCAGACTTGATTAAAAAAGTTCTTCAATGTGATAAGAAAATTCGAGAATATGCAGAGGCTTTGTACAAAGAATCCTCGTTGTTAGTCATGGGTCGTGGCTTCAACTTTGCTACATGTCTCGAAGGAGCTTTGGTAAGATGTTTCTTTCTACATAAAGCATCTCCTTCTTTGTAATTTTTAGAAAGTTAAAGAATTGACTTATATGCACTCTGAAGGTATTCTTGCTGGTGAATTGAAACATGGCCCATTAGCTATGGTTGATGACAACATGCCAATTGTAATGATTATCATGGACGATCCAGTTAAAACCGTAAGTTAAGCGGATTGCGCGTTGATGCAAAAGAAGAAGTTCGATTTTTAGAAATGTATGAATGCTTATTCGCAAGTTCAAGCACGTGGTGGTCAACCCGTCTTGATCTGTAATGATGATGATGAAGAATTGATCAAATTAGCCAACCGAAACATCACCGTTCCACGTACAGTTGACTGTCTTCAAGGTATCTTATGTGTTGTTCCAATGCAATTACTTTCATTTCATATTGCCGTCTTACGTGGCTATGATGTTGATTGTCCAAGAAATTTGGCTAAATCCGTTACAGTCGCATAAGCGGTTCATGATTGAATCTCAATGGTAACATTATGCCGTTCAATTTCTCGGAGAATATCCGTCTTTCTTTTATGTATGATCTTATCTGAAAAAAAAACACCGTATACATTTATTCTTATTTATCAATATCGTTGTTGTTATTTCTTGACTTTTAACCTCATTTGCATCGCTATTCTTTTTTTTCTCTTATTATCAATGGTTTATTTGCATTTACAATAAGTTAAAATAAAAAAAACGAAAAAGTTTTCTTTTCGAAATGAAACATTCGCTCACGTTTGTTCTCACATGTCTTGATACATCATCTACAAGAACTAAGCAAAGCATCTTCTACTGGAAAGGCAGTGAGCGAAAGATCTTGTTTGACCTTTTTTAAGCTTGAAAGTTATGGAGTTGATTTCCAATAGCTATTTTTACTTGCATTTTTTACGCAACGATGGCTGAAATAGGTTCAATGGAGTTCTTTGAGAGAACACAAAGCTAAAATAGAAGTCAATGAAGACAAAAGGCATCAACGAACGTTCTGAAAAATGGAATCAACACAAAGGTAATTCCCTCAAGTAGCGACGAACTTCTGATGCACATTTCCGTTTAGCTGACATTCATTAAAACGGAAGAACACATTATCAGTATTCTATCAAACGTAATTAGCTCTCTTTTTCCTATTATGAAAACATTTTTTCTCTTTGCAAGACAGATGATCGGATAAACATGACGAGTCTGTTCGAACATCTACCAAATGAACTGATCTACGATGTATTTCAATACTTGGATACCCGAGATTTGTATTATGGATTTTGGAGATTGAACAGTCGATTGAATGCGATTCTTCGATCTCTGAGAAACCTGTCACTGACTATGGACAAAAATGATCCGGCGTTGATTTCTGTATTTTCTCCGCGGGTTGTTCAACTCAAACTGAACACTTGGCATGAAATTGATTTAACGCGCTTCTCAAAATTGAGAGTCTTGATTTTACAGAGGACAACGCGTTTTCAAGTGGCACAAATTCGACCCCATGTAATTCCTTATCTGAGATATTTATCTCTATCGTTAGCATTCGATTTCTGGTCATCAGCTCAACTCGCTGAAGATGTCTTCTCCAACGGGTTTCCTTTATTACGATATGCTGACTTAGGTCGTGTAGATGTCCCGTATACACGTTCATGGTCGTTATCTCCACATCTTCTATCTGTGTGCGTCTGCTCGGGTGATCCAATTATAATACCATTGATTCTCGTTTCATGTCCATATTTGCGCAGTTTACAAGTACAAGTTTTCGGTGACAATCATCATATTGATCTCCCTACATTAAGATTAAATCACCCGTTGAAACGCTTTACTTTCGTAGATTCGTATGGAGTTTTATCACTAAGTGACATGAGTCTTCTCCTCAGCTATGTTCTCAGTGTTGAATATATTCATTTAACATTATTTGAAATATCTTTTACACGTCTGGCTAGCATTCTCAATCATCATCTGCATCGTTTGAAAACATTCGATTGTTATATCCACGATTCAGCTGTAAACGCAGATCTCGATGAGATAAGAGCAATGAATCCGTGTTTCGAACGAATACAATACTACGAAAAAAGTCACGGTGTTCGTTACTTTACAAATAAACAGCTGTGATTGTTGCAAACGTGTTATTTTTTTTCCATTAATAAACGAAATTATCCACTAAAATTTGACCAGTCAGTCAATCAGTCGATTGAAGTATTCTATACTTATTTACTGACATGAATAATATTTGCGTCATAGTTTGTTTTCTTCTGTGCATGAGTCACACGTGCACGAAGCTAGAAAATATAAAAGCGAATGAAATAATTCCGAGATTACATACGACACTCATAATGAATTACTTTGATAAATTACCTGATGAATTGTTGGAAAAGATATTTTCGTCGTTTCAAGCTCGACTTCCCCTCGAACGATTCAATCACGCTTTTCGGGAGGATAACGCGTATTATTTTAATTATTCATTACAACAGCCGTTACTGAAACAAACGCATAAAGATATATCTAATCTATCATTAGTCTGCCGTCGGTTTCATCAAATCATTCATGCTAGAGGTTTCTGGGAACGCAAATGCCGCGACGAACATGTCTTACTACCTGATCAACATTTTCCTGAACAATTTGCTGCATATGAACAACTTTACGTTAACAATCCATTCCATCCGGCGTATAACCTACTTAAATCAGATCGATGGACTAAATCGAACGGTGGTCAGTCACGGATTGAAAATGATCCGTGTGGTAGTCATCGACTTTACGATGAATTCGGTCGTCTAGCACCTTGTCGAGTAACATCGTATATCTTTACAACATTTCGTCAGCGACGAGTAAATCTTTCTGATGCAGAACTTCTCTTAAATAATGCAAGTGTTCTGAGAAATATCTCGATTTTCACAATAGAAATATTTGTTTAGTCTGTGGATTTACGACCTGTCATTGAATTCTCTGTTTGTGTGGCTGCTCGATGGGATTGTGGAGCTCGCTGTATATTGTCTCTTTCGTTCTCAGATGGACATGCGTGGCGCCATGGAAGACGCTTCCCTCAATGGAATGATAAAAAATGGCATCGAATAACTTATCGATATGGAGAATACACCCAATATCCTTCATGGGTTGATGTTAGCATAGCTGGCAGTGATACACAATTTTGGGCAGGATTTTATGGAGTTAAATTTGCACAACCACGTCTTCGATTATTACTCCGTACAAACGAAAATCAGACTAATGAAGAAAGTGTAGTTACAATTGAACCGAAAGAAGAAGACGAACTTGAACAGGCTGTTGCAAGAGAAACTGAGGAAGACAATATTTCTGTTGAGACGGTTGATTCTTCCTCTGAAGCAGAAGAAGAAGAAGAAGAAGAACCTGTCGGCGATAACTCTTTCGATGACGAAGACTAGTTTTGTTGTCGTAACTTTAGTAGAGATACATTTTCCAATTTTATTGTAATACAAGTAGCCGAAAACTAATGGGTAGGAGTCGACTTATTGTATTGCAATACATTTAAAAGAGAATTCATTATTATCAAAGTCTTCATACATATAGATTGATTCATTTGATGAAACACGAACAGATTTCAACTTATTAAAGGCTATGAATAGAATAATTAATTTGACGGGAAATTGTTGAACACGCACGTGTGCAATTATGATATACTAACACCCAGAGTGATTTGTTTTAAAGTAAATTGAATGCAAGTGTCACTTACCAAGTAACACTTGAACATTCATTTCATTTTCAAAACGTTTTTGTCATGACTGATTTCTTTTGCCGACCTATTTCTTCTTCCTTGCTGCGTTGCTTTGCAAAGGAATTGAAAAATCTGATTGGCTGACTAAAGTGCATAAGTATGTTACAGTCTGTAATGATGCACCATAAACAACGGAAATTTTTTCTTAAACTATTTGAAAAAAATCTACAATTAACTTTAGAAAATTAATTTTTATCGCTTGAAAAATCCTTTACAGAGGCATCTATCTATTGATTACCATCATGGCTATTGACTGGTGGCTATCTCTGTCTCTCTAACTGATATTTGTTCATTCATTATTTGTCGTTTTGCATCTTAACTTTCGATTGATAGGATTAATGCCGATGCGATGACAGCGAAAGTTCATTGGAAACGGCTTGATGGAACTATCGGCCAAAATCCCAAGCCTCGTCATGGACATCGAGCAGTAGCTGTCAAAGATTTGATTATTATATTTGGTGGAGGGAATGAAGGCATTGTCGAAGATCTCAATGTGTTCAATTGTGGTAAGAACAAATTACAATCGAAATCTTCTTCGAAAATTTTCATTTAATATGTTTTAGCTACAAACCATTGGTTTCAACCATTAGTGAAAGGTGATATTCCAACAGGCTGTGCTGCATTCGGTTTTGCTACTGATGGTATACGAATTCTTGTGTTCGGCGGCATGGTGGAATATGGCAAATATTCAGCAGACCTCTGGGAATTGAATCCGTTAAAATGGGAATGGAGAAAGTTGAAACCTAGACCACCTCGAACAGCTCCATTACCATGTGCTCGTCTTGGTAAGACTTATACTTGAGATGTATCGTCTCTATTGTATTGAAAATATTCTAGGACATACATTAACATATGCAGAAGGAAAGTTTTATCTCTTCGGTGGTCTGGCTAATGACAGCAAAGATCCAAAACAGAATGTTCCCCGGTATGATACTGTCTAGAACATATTCAGTATTATCGATTGACTACATTTAGATATTTAAATGATCTGTATGTACTTGAATTCAAGGGAAATAGTTGTAGCTGGGAACAGCCGATGATTACGAATACATTACCAGCTGAACGCGAATCGCATTCATGTGTGTTCTATCGTGGTGAAATTGAAAATCGTCCGAAGTTGCTGGTCTATGGTGGAATGAATGGTCATCGTTTAGGAGATCTTTGGAGTTTTCATCTCGGTATGAGAATAAAACCAATCAATAGATTTTGTAGTTGTAAAAATCATTTTCCTTTCATTTCGTGCAGATTTTCTACAGTGGACACAAATAACACCGAGTGGTTTATCTCCACAACCACGTAGTCTGCATTCAGCAGTTGTGATCGGCAATCGGTATGTATCGATCATTCGATTCTCATTTTTGAAATCAAGTTTTTGTCAATTGTAGGATGTATATATTCGGCGGCTGGGTTCCATTAGTTCCCGTGGACAAGAATGATCATTATTCGAACGAAAAAGAATGGAAGTGTACGAATACATTAGCAGCATTCAATCTAGGTAAGATGATGATGATTGTCTGCTGAGAGGAAACTATTATTCTATTGTAGAAACAAATTCTTGGGAACTTCTTGGACAAGAATGTCTCGAAGATAATGTACCACGAGCACGTGCTGGCCATTGTGCAGTGACCGTTAATACGAGAATGTATATTTGGAGCGGACGAGATGGATATCGAAAAGCATGGAACAATCAAGTGAGTAAAAAACGAACGTTTTCAATAGAAAGAGAATCTGTTGTTCCAGGTTTGTTGTAAAGATCTGTGGTGTTTGGAAACAGCTATTCCAGGCGAACCAGAAAAAGTGCAATTACTCAAAGCAGGAATCGGCAATCTAGAAATATCGTGGGCTCCTGTACCTACCGGTATGTAAAACCGTTGATTTTGAGAATTCAATTTGAAATGAGTAATGCTCATTCTAGCTGATTCCTATATTTTACAAATACAAAGAATCGATACACCAGTTGAACAACCTGTACCAGTACCACCGACGCTTCCGACTACGTCTCAACCATCGACACATCATCCACCTTTACCATTGCAATCGATATCCGCTTCACTCTTCGCTTCAAAGAGTCCACAATCCGGTAGAAAAAAATTGATTTCCTCAATTTTAATCTTACTATTTGTTTTTAGTACTCGCATCGTTAATTCCGACATTTTCAAACGGTAAGTTAACATTCTCTCTCTTGCTATATTGATTTCTCATTTTCATCTTGATTTTAGAGCAACAAACACCCAGTGCATCAGTCTCCGCAATATCTGATACAGGTAAGTTAAAATTGAAGATCGTACATGTACTTATCTTCTTTTTGATCGATTGTCAGATGCTGTTGTCGATCCCTGTCTTCCCTCGACATCAAAGTCGGACCTTTTATCATTAGCTCATCTGTCGTCGTCGCAAACACCGTTATCAGCATCGATTAGTACACTCAATGCTCAGACATTGCCAAATCTATCTTTATCACCTCCGAACAGTACTAATAATTCTTCATTATTGTTCCAAAAAACGACACCAACATCTATTCCCTCGTCTATGCAATACAATCAAACAGCGACTATATTAAATCCTACACAAAGTACGATTGATCTCATTCAAATCGAACTTCTAACAAAACAATACGAACTATTTGTTTCTTCTTTGCAGCCGTTCGACCAGCGACAACATCGAGTATTCAATTTGTTAATACTTCGTCTACCGGTGCTAATAATACTGTTCGTCCAATCATATTCCACCCAAAAACGACGACAAACTCACCTCAACCACAACTTCTCACCGTTATGCCTGCAGGTGTTCGTGTCCAGCAACTAACACCTGTCGTACGAGGTTCGTCTACTCAACCGACAACAATCGTCCGTCTCATGTCACCAGCAGGTACAACCGTTCGACCAGGCACAGGTCAACAACAAATCATACAACTGAATACTACTAAACAACAACAACCACCACTAGTGATCAAGGCAATCACTGCACAAACATCGAACCGACCACAATCTCAGCAATCAGTATTGTTGTCATCTAATACCCAACAAAAGCCTGCAGCACAACAGCAAGTATTAGTTTTGAATCAGAACGCGTTTTCGAATATGGGTGGACAGCAGCCTAAATTTACTATACAAATGACAAACGTCGATCAGGCAAATACACCGGCAGCTCATACAACAGCGAGCACTGATAATGGTCAACAAGAATCTAATTTACCTCAATTAGATGGAAGTATAGATGATTTGGTAAGTATTAATATCTTTTGATGGAAATTTCACTAATAACTTTTCATGTTTCATCTTTAGCCTCCACAAAACGGTACATCTGGTAAAATAACATCGGTCTTGTTTGAATAATTTTTACATACATATGTGTGTTCCTTTAGAGTTACAAACTTCTTCTAGTCCAGCATCACAACAGTCAGCAACGAATGTGTCATCACGACCATTGACAAGTAAGTAGATAAATAATATATTGAATATCTCAGACTATCAAATTTTATTATCTTTTTCTATTGAAAAGATGATCACGAAACGCTCAATGGTAATTCGAAACATGATATCCAACAACCGACAGTATCAAATGATTCGAAACCCATTGATAGCGATGGCTGGCACCTGGTAGGAACATTCAAAACCACAACAGCTGATATCAAACATTATTATGTTGTACCATCAAAAATTCATCTTGACAACTATGTACGTACAAGTCCTTCGGCTATTTGATCAGATATATTTGTGTTTTCTTAGGATCTTGATTCACTTCAAGTGCAAAATTTGGTGAAAAGAGTTGATCTCGAGCCGGGTGTTATCTATAAACTTCGTATAGCTGCTGTAAACTCTTGCGGTCGTGGCCCATGGAGCGAAGCATCAGCATTCAAGACTTGCCTACCAGGTTCACCACCTGCTCCATCGAATATCAAGATTACAAAGGTAGGATTTCTCAATCAGTCGATCAATCAATCAACTCGTTATCTTTCCACTTTAGACAGCAGACGGCGGTGCTCATTTAACTTGGGATCCTCCATCGAATGCATCATCGATGATCACTGGCTATGCAGTTTACTTAGCAGTTAAGAATACTTCCACCGACAATGCATCCACACGCCCTCAATCACAGCAAGCATCACAAATGGCATTTGTTCGTGTCTATGGTGGTGTTGCAGCTGAATGTTCAGTTAACGCTGTTCAACTTCAACAAGCACATCTCGATACGACGACGAGTAGTAAACCAGCAATAATCTTTCGTATTGCTGCACGTAACGAACGCGGATACGGGCCAGCAACTCAAGTTCGATGGCTGCAAGATCAACAACAGATTGCTGCGAACCATTCGGCTGCAAACAATTCGTTGAAGCGAACTAGCTCGAATACAAATTCTTCCGGTACAGGAATAAAAAAACCACGATCCTTGCCAACAAATGGTGCAACTGATGGTTAATTTTCTTTTCCTAAACGTGCATGTGTGTTGACTTGTAAATATTTTATTTCCTTTGTGGAGAAAAGACAAGATCGTTATCTTATTATTCCAAGATGTTTCTCTGTATGCTATTCTTCGTGCTTGTTGATTAGTTGACCGAAGTATTTTCTCTCTTTCTCTCTTCTTGTTCTTGTGAAAAATGCAAAGATGGCAACAAACTGATTGTTTTTCTTTTCTTCTATTCGTGTATTGTTGAACATCATTTTGTGTTGTATATATATACATATATATATAGTTTCATTCTTCATATACATCCAAACACACACAGTTTGTTATTCTCTTCCTTTTTTGTGTTTATGTGAAAAATAAAAAACAAAGGCAGCCAAAAAGTCAGAAATGAATGTAATTCATCAAATATATATACGTATGTATATGAGAATCGAATGATAAGAAGAAGAAGAAGAAAAAAGAAGACGAAGAAAACAAAAGCCCACGAATAATGTTAGTTTGCTGAGAAAGAAAATGTTTGTCTTGTTGAATGTCTTTCTATTTCAATCGATTGAGTAAATCTTCTGCTTGACGAATTTCATCCGCCAGTGTTGATGCATGAGGTGAGCTTTTGGCACAAGCAATTGCTTCACGTAAGCCTCGCCGTTCTTGTAACAACATCGCTTGAGTTAAGTCTATAATGAGACAATCGTTTTCTACATGAAACTCGTAGACAAATCTGTCTTACCTTTTCGCACTGGCTCGACATCCGAAAAAGTCTTTCCTTCGTAAACAACGTATTGCCGTCCTTCTAAATGGTACTGATGCATGTCTTTAGGACGATCAGCATAGAATTCTTCAAGTATTCGTTCATCAACAGGCGATGTTGCTCGATCGATCTGTTCATATTTTTTCGGATGTCCAGTAACATCACCGGGCTGAATTTCGTTATTACGCTGGGGACGACGAGTTACAACTTGTTGTGGTCCAGGTGTTGGCGCTAAAGTGTTTGGAGTAGTTCGAATACTAATGATACGATCAGAGCCTGGATCACCTGGAATAAAATCGAAAATATTGATGTGTGCTTCAACACTATAACAACAACAAATCGACTCACCCATAAAGTAAAGAAGTCCGGTATAGAAGGCGATTGATATAGCAGTCATAATACCAGCTAGGAGTGATGCAATAATATCTAAAATTGAACAGAACTTTAGCGTTGAAGGAAAGAAGACGAGATTAAAAAAGTCACCTTTATCCACTGATGAGTATGCCAATGAGATATAGTTCGAACAACTGGCAATACAAATGATTATGCCGATCGTCAGGCCACATTCGATGACGATTGTAATGATTGTCACAATAACACACGCGAGGGATCTTTGTACTGTGAACAGAGAGAAACAACTGAGAATTTAAGTTTTCGTCTTCACACTTACCTGATCGACGATTCCAAATCAGAATTAGAATGTGAAATAGAAAAAGTAAACTAGCGATACAGCCAAGTATCACCACTATAAGTGGAATTTGCAAAATATCTTGATCTACAAATAACAATCAACTGAATGCATATTCATCATTGAACTATCTTACATTGTACACCCCAAAGAATGGCAAAGGCGATAATCATCATAAATGATAAAACACCAATGATCATTGTTAATATAACCGTACGTTTATTGATATCAAACCGAACACTTAAATACAGTATAAAACAGAATAAAATGAACCAATTGAGCAACAATAATGTATAAGTCCACCAGTTTGCATAAGCACCTCCATAGGAATTCGTACATGTACCAGTCGAACTTAATCGAGCAGTCAGAACACTTCTGGATTCGGTTTTAACTACATTTGTCACTAAAAATTGATTTCATTCGAAACAAAAAAAAGTTCTTTTCAAGACAATATACCCGCAACACATGGCGCTGGTAATAGCGTGTTACACAGGAAATTAGTAATACATTGCGAAGCGCTATCATAGGCTGCACAATACGTTCCGATGGCCGTATCATAAGTACTATTTGGACACCATGTAACAACTGATTTATCGACAACTGATCCATCTAGCCAATGCCATTGAGAATCGCGAACTAAATTTCGAAGAAGAAATCTGGATATTATCTGAACTTATTCTCGGCACGTTATTTCAAATAAATTTTCTCCCTTTCTCACTCTGATTTGCTTGACATATTCCATGTGTAATAAAAATAATTATATCACATTAAGTGATGAATGTATGGCAGGATCTTTCAATTCTTTCCTTTTAACTATACTTACAAGTATCACCGTGCGTAGGTGAACTTACATTCTTTCTTTTATTTTTTAAACTGAAAAAGACGGAATACTTTTTCTTCTACTTGAAAAGAAAGATATCTCACCGACGGAAATCATCGCCTATTCCCGATCTAATACCATCTCCTCTTTTCAATGTTTTTCAGTTCGAAAATAAAAAACTTATCATTTCACTTACATGATGCAAAATTGTTTGCGCCAAGCCAGAAATATCCCTTGCTACTGATATCTCCCGTTTTCAGTGCATCAAACTGTTTGGCTGAAAAAACTTGAATTAGTACTCCGTCGACTGTTTTAGCTAAACATTGATTATACGCATCCGTCCACGACAGCGCATTTCTTTTGTAAATATAACAAAGACTCGAGACATCACCGCTGGGAAACGCTTGTGGACATTCACTAGTTACTGAAAGACAAGAATGGTGAACTGAATAATGTCCGATAGTGATCATACCTCGTCGCGGATATTCAATGATAAGAAGAGGAAGCAGCAAAAGAAGTTTTAACTTGAACGATGTCATGATTGAGAAATGAGAAAGAGTAGAAATGTTGTTCAGAGTTGCTTGTTTTTATCACTGGTAGTTGTCATTGTCTCGCACGATATACTCTGTTTGTTGGTATCTACAACAAGAAAACTCATTTGCAGTCAGCAACCTCTAATTTTCTTTCTCTCTCTCTCTCTCTTTGTTCTTTGAGTTGCTAACAAAAATGACTCGATGCAGTCTACATCTGTTATTTTTCTTATCTTAATTTTTTTTTGTTCACGTCATTTCTCTCGTTTTTTTTTATTTCTTCGTCGCTATTCATATGCGTAATATCAAATAGCAGTGATACAATTGATTTTTACTCCTCCGAAAAAGAATATTAAGTAAATTCTATAGACGAGTATTAAATTCATATTGTTGAGGCGTTTCTCGCTTCTAAAATCAATACAATTGTCGTCATCAGTTTAGTCACGTCAGGTGGGATGGAATAACCAAAGCAATCCCAGAGAAAACGATAGATTGGCATCAAATTTCCATGTGAAAATGTATTCAATTTCATTACTAAATATGAAGAGATGATTAGAAGACAGGCTACAATGGATTTGTCTATACAATCTTAGATTTGCTCATTGTGAAACTGAGGGTGGGCATTGATGTTTTGCGAACAGTCGTTATTTCTTTGCTTAACTTCATTTTCTTGTCGAATAGAAGACGAGAGATGTGACCTCGATGGACTTTTTTCACAGTGAAGAGATAAATTAAAACAAAAACACTTTTTACTTAATGACTTTTCTGGTTTGTTGTAATTACCGGAAATCAATGCAGAAATTGAAGTTTATCTGTCGAAGAGAGAAGATACCGAATCGAAATTATGGAAGAAAGATATGCCGATGTGAAGAGATGGATTGAAAGGAGACTAATGAACATGAAATTCGTAGGATAAACCCGGCGAAGACAAAAAAATATTTCTCCGTTTCTAATGCACGATGAATAGAAAGAAAATGACTATTTTCTCGAAGTAACAGTGCGATTACTATTCTGAGAATATAAGTAAACGTTTTCCTTTCATTTACTATTTATCAGTATTTACAAAATGTAAATAATTAATACTTGTATTTGTTATTACCTTTTACTAAACCGCCAGATCACTTTCGACGTGATAAAAATTTAGAATTGCCTTCATAGTTCGATTTAGCCATTTCGTTTCGGGATGGTTTTGAGTGACGATCAATCTTATTTGATAATACCATTCAAATAAAATGTTCGTAGGAAAAGTAGATCAGTTTAGGTACTTTCTTGCCTTTGATTTAACCTCTACTGAACGACATCAGTTAAAGATAATTGCATTCGAAACTGAAACTCTGTTGGCACTTTTGTATGTGAACATAGTATAGTTAGGACAAGAAAGTATTTTGTAGAAGTTAAGGAAGCAAATCGATTTGTAATATTTCCGGGAAAATGTAAGCAATACTGTTCGTGTTGAAGAGATATTTTAACAAACTTTATCAAGAGATCAAAAAACTTTCACTAACAAGGATCATAGTTTTCGAACGTGAAGGCCACTCTTCTTTATCTAGAATTACATTATAGGATTGGAGCTTGTTTCTCTTTTGAAAAGTGTATCGAACAGTAATGTCTTACTATTTCAAACAGACTGCGATATGTCGAATAAGTTTTTACAAAGAATTGAGAATTACCGGATTACTTAGTTTTGACCCAGGTTGGTGAAGGTCTCAGTCAATCATCATGCGCTAGTTTTGCAGGTTTAATCATAGTTGTCATTCCAGGACAAATAGAAACTATTCTGAAAATCCAATAGCATTCGAAATTACCTGGACTAAGCTTAATTGTCCAGTGTAGGTAGTGGGTTATGAAAACGATATTATGTAATAGAACGTCTATGAATTAGATTCAATGTACTCAACTATCATCTCAAAATAAGCAGATTGTTGTTTGTTTGAAAGATTCAAATTCAACTGTTTTCTATTGATAAATACGAACAAATGCAAGAAGTCTTCACATCGACGTATAGTCTATGACAAGAAACTTTTTATCAACAGTTTAAGGCCTGATTGGAATAATTGCTTTCAAAGCAAATGAAAAAAATTGGACTCTTTCACATTGCAATCAGTAGCATAGAACAATTCATTAAATTATTCGAAATAATTTTATTTAACATCAAGTTTTCTTTTCGTCGACTGTATATCATATCCAATCAATCGATCGTTTCACTTTGTCATACCTATTTGTAAGTCAGGACGGGACAAAAGAAGTACAAAGATTATTAAAAAAAAAAGGTTATTGTGTGTCATTGTTTATCACAGAAACATGAAATCTTACTTGTCGAATACACGGAAATGTCAACAACGGCGGAGTACGTTAACATTCGTATTTACTTTCCGCAGAAAATCTTGAAAGTCAAGCGAAGGAGCTTTGCCCACGACTCAAAGACTGCAAATGGAATACCACCCGTTTGTTTTGATTATGTCAATGAATCATACGATGCTATCAATATTTCCTGTCAAATAGAGGGTCTATAAACAATGTACATTTCCAATAATTAAACGTCAATTTAGAAATATTGAAAAATATGTAGAGAGAACCTATCAGACCTAATTACACAGCGTCCAACATTCTTTTATTAAACACAGAAACCGTTTAATATTAAGCTAAAATAAACATTTTCATAACACTTTCGAACGATAACGACCAATTAACAAAAAAACGAACATTCTAATGATCCTTGAAAATACTTCAACAGAATTCGGAATAGATTTTCATACTGATACGCTCGTCGATGTGAAGTTATTCTTAACTAATAACTTTCTATTTTTAAACATGTAAGCCACTCAGCCGAGATTTCTTATTAGCACCCTAAGTACATGTTTATTGCGTAAGTTGATGGTAATAATTAAAATCCACCTGTTGAAGAAATGCTTATTTATTAAATATTTGTCAATTGCGAGCGTGTTACACACAACTGACAATTGCTCGAACATCAAATATCTGACGAGAGACACGAACTAACCACACAGTTCATTGGACCCGTTTGAAGATATGCAACCTGTGGAACAATAAATGATGAATTGCGTGGTAGAAGTCTAAACACTTTTCGTAATAGTTTTGTATTTTGTCATTGGTGAAGAATACGAATGACGTTAGAAAACTTTCATTTTTGTTCAATTAATTATTTACGTATGACAATTGAAGTCTGTAGGTGATATTTCAGTGGTTCTATCTTTCACAAAAGAGGATATTCTGTATGGTCTTCGATATAATGAAGACTCCGAACGAATACTCATTTCTTCGATGATAAAACTTTTAAAGTACATTGTATAAATCAACAGAATGTCTTTTTCTACGAATGAATCATCGACTAGTGGGCGTATTTTTTCTGACAATAGGCTCTTCCTGCGAAACAAGTCCACGAACTTCATTTTCTTACCCACGCAATCTCGCATTAATAGATCTATGATTATGCGTGAGGCATCAGATTGAAAAGGTAGAAAATGTCGTCAACATTTGACTTTGCCAACAAAAGAAGATCAAGAAAAGATTAATCAACCGCCAGTGTTTATTGAAACTTTGCGCGGCTTTCATCAAACGTTGTAGGATATTTGAACAGCAGAAAAGAAGATTGATCGGTAAATGAAATTACATCTAAATATTTCCATGCACGTAAGATATGCATTCATCTACGTAGGAGATATATATTATCTCGGCAGATTTATTAACAATTGTGCTTGATATATTTATCTTACAGAAGGACTTTTATTTCTATACGCGTCAGTGATCGGTCTATGCATGGGCGTGTTTATTTTCCTACTGACGTCGATTTTCTTTCTCTTCTCCATTAAAAAAATATCCTAACCGTTTTGTATGTATATATATATGAGTATATAACATCACTTGACTACTGTAAAGTACCACTCACATTCACCTGTATGAAAAAACTTATCAAAACCGTTCCTCTCTCTCTCTTTCTCTCTCTCTCTTCTATATGAATATTCTATTAGTCAGACAAATTGATTTCTATTACTATTCACTTCTTGTTTTTTTCTTTTTCGTTGCAGTTATTTTATTTCATATACGAATTTCTTGTCAACTATCATCCCGTCAACAATGTTCAAATCCTGCTTACCGTCGAATAAATGTCTCGTGTTGTTATTTGTATTCGTCATTATAACATCGATTCGATTTTCACACGCATCATCTCTAGAACGTTTACATAATGATGAGATGGCCGATTCATCCAGTGATGTCGCACAAGAGCAACAACGTCGAGTTGATAATCTAAAACAGTTACGTCACTTTCTGTTAACATCGAACGCCGAACAACGAGCCGGACGACGTGATAAACAAAATTTTCTCAAACGAAAGCTGGTAGGAAAGCAAAAAATAGAGAGAGAGAGAGAAAACCCACGCATTTTCTTTTTCATAGATTCGTGAATATCTTCGATCAGTAAACGATGCCGATTCTAGTCGTTTGGAAGAAGTTAAAAGTAAGTTGATTGACTTGTTTTGCTCGCTTTTGAACTAATCAACACGCCTTGCTGCTTCTCATTTACCATCTAACATTCGCATGCGCTTGCTACGTTGCACTTTCTTGTTTAGAGCGTTTCACATACTGTAGCGTTCAAGATATGTTGCATGGCTCGCTTTGTCGCCGCCGCGCCATTCATCACTGAGCAGATCGCCTTCATCTAGTTAATGCACGAACGATATGATATTTATTTCAAAATCAAACTGCTTTATCAATCATCTTCTTTTTCATCATCGACCTTATATACATTACTTTCAATATTTGTATAAACGCACGGTTACAAATCATACAAGTATACTTTCTCTCTATATTCTAACAAATAAACATCAATCCATAGGAGATGATAAAACACTGTTGCTTTTTTGTTTTTCTATTCTTCTGTTTTATTCCTAAACTAACATGTAATAACGCTAAACAAATCTGTTCTATCAAACATGTTGCGTTCGGTTTCGAAAGTTGAGTCACTTCAATTTTACTAACCTGTATCATTTATTTGCTTAATTAACCGTCGCTACAACAAAGCAAATAAAAATCACCTAATTTCAAGGAATAACAACACATTTCGAATCTTGAGAGTTGCAATCGATATGTACTTTTTTAGAACGTTTCATAACCTTCTGTAACTCATACGAAGATATAATGAATCCGGGTCAAGCTACATGTGGTTAAATGTTTCACCTATCTATCATCAACATCACCAGCATGATTGCATTTAGAATCAACTTATTCACCATCAATCTTTCCTCTCGTTTTGTTTTCTTTCAATTTTGATGCTATTTCATTTACATAAGCATCCCGCTTAAATAAAAACCCACTGTATTTTTTTGGTACCAGTACTTATTCAATAATACGTGAGTGAGTGCCACTAAGAATCATTCATCGTTGCTTATTTTTTTCTTTCAATCAACAATATTATTCACATTAGTCTCTATATGTCGTACATTTTTTTTGCTGCCTGATTTACTTACCTTTCGTTCTGCATCCTATCAAATGATTGTATGATTTTTTTTTGTGTGCATGAATATTTCGTTTGATTTTCGATGTACTATGAAAAAACGCAAACATCTAAATATTCCTTTCTTTTTTCCTTCTTATAGAACGTTTTTGTGCGAGTTTGGAAGAATTTCAAGCTTCTCATGCCGCGTGCTATGGTTAGAAAAACGTACCAACTGTATCACTGATCTTATTCTTGTTATGACAGACATTTCTTTTATTTTAATCCACGAAATAAACAAATAAGGCTACTTGAATGATTTTAAAATGTTGTAGTTGATACTTTGCACTTATCCACATCCGCAATCGTGGTCAATGTTTGCATACTGAGAGTTTTCGCCTGAATACGTTTCGTGTAGCGTCGAGATAGTTCACGATGTTCGGTTTTTGCTGGTCCCCACTTTTCATGAGGAAAACGAGCTTCTTTAATGATCTATAGACAAACAAAGCAACGTATTCAACTATGAATTATTGTAAACATACATTCCATGTACCACGACGACAGATTTCAACGAAGAACATGTATGGAAGCCAACCGAGACAGATGATGACGACCATCCAACCAAGCGCAAGTGCCCATGTGGGATATGTATAATCATCAAGTGTTACATCTTGATAGAATAATGAAGAGAAGATGATGGTAAACTAGAGATGACAGATGTGTCAAGAAGAATTTCACGGATGACCAAATGTGAAGAAAAAAGAAGATAATTACTAGTAGAATTAATGGAGAGATGTACTTCCAACATATTTGCCAGAATTTACTCGGACGTCGTTCTTCACCTAACATGATAGCAATGTCATCACAGAAATTATCCATCCCTAATGTGATATAAGCAATGAAATAGATGTGAAAGTCGAGAGAGTTTAGCTTGACTGTACCATAAACCCACGCAATACAGAATAATTCGACAACACCGATGATTAACCATGGGAAACCACCGAGGTACTGATCAACAATATTTAAAACATAGAGACCACCCTAGAAAAGCAAATAGGATATCTGAGAATCGAAGATTTTTGAAAATTAACACACCCGAGTCACCATTGAAAGACCGACTAAGAAGAACACGACAGATAAACCAAACCGAAATAGGACTATTTTCTTCGGCGTATTTAAGTACATTTTGAATTCGTCAATTATACTCGCCATGACTGTTTCCATAATGGAAAACTATTAGAAAGAAATTGTAGAATCATTCAGTTTCGAGGAGAACTGGTAAATTTACCTCAGAACCAAACCCAAGTGTGCACATCATCAGAAAGAATAACACACACCAGAGAGGTGCAAATGGCATCATCGATAAACCTTCAGGAAAGACAACAAATGCCAAACCAGGTCCTAAATTGTACTCTTTTCTATACCGCAATTAATAAACATGCCTTACAAACCTCCTTTCGCCACATCAGCCACACTTACGCCCATTTTCGTCGCCATATGACCTAAAGACAGCTAAGAATCTCAAATTCAATACTAATCTCTTACCTAATACAGTAAAAATTGCAAATCCACTAAATATACTGGTAAACCATGTCACACAACAAATCGCTATTGTATCACTACAGAACGCAACAAGTTCTTCTCGTTAGTTTGACAGAGACCTTTATACCGATAGATATTATTGTTAAAATCATTGAACGATGCCATAGCTATCAACCCACCGCTGCAGCAACTCAATGCATAAAATACTTGTGTACATGCATCTTTCCAAACCTAAAAAAATCGTCTTTCAAAATGACCTCTTCCTCTCTAGCACAAACGCATCGTACCGATGGATTCTTCAGAACACTGAAATTGACTGTTCCCATGTAAAATTTAATACCTTCGACAGCGCCACTCAATGTTGCACCACGAATGATCAAAACAGTTAGCATTACATATGGAAATAGAGCAGTAAAATATGCAACCTACAATGAGAGTACGTTCATTTTCTCGATGTTCAAATCATAGTTTTTACTTTGCCTAACGATTGTACACCTTTTGATAACGCCAAAAAGCAGATTAACCAAGCGATTGCCAGAGCAACAACTAATCCAACAACAAGACCATCTGCATGTTCTACTCCGCCACTGATTTGTAACACTCGACGACTAAAAATATTAGAAAGTCTTTCCTTTCGAATTAGATAGGCTTTGGAATTCTATACTAAAAATATTCTTCACTCGGCGAACTTGTCATATCTAAAACCATACAAATATTCATCATCCAATAAACCAAGCGAATCATCAAAAGATACTTTTCATTAAGCCAAGTTCAGTTCGAGTTAAATTCGCTAATGTTTTCTGATCAGTGCACAGCGCTGTGTTCCACCAATTATGGCATGTCGACCATGGAACAATCAATTGGAATGATGCCACCAAATAATAGAAACAATATGCAATGAGCACCATGTAATACAAACCCCAAAAACAGTTTGTGGCCATCGACGCATAGCCAATACCTATTAGAAAACAGTATCGACAGAATTTCTCGAGAAATAAGATTTGTCACAAGCCTCGCAATAATGGATTGACTTTCCAAACAACTAATGGCCCAGCACTGGTAAATTGTCCTAAGGTTAATTCCAAATAGAACACAGGTGCACCAATGAAGAAAAGCATGAGCGTATATGGTATGAGAAAAGCGCCTAGAAACGCATTGGCATACAATCGAGAAAGAACGCCATCGGCAGCAAAAATTACCTCCTCCGTTCTTGAAACAGAGATATGGAAAACGCCAAACATTGCCTAAGCCAACAGCTAGAAAACATACCAAACAAGACAGTCAATTGTCATGAAATTTTCGTACAAACCAAATGCTACTAATGTTAAAAAGAACTCAACAGGATTTGTCCATTGTTTACGCTATAGATTACAATAGAAATATGTTGATTATACAAAAACTAGCTTCACGAACTTCTGGTGGAGTCACATCACTAGCAATCATTTGAAAGACCGTCAACAGATGTTGAAAGTGAAGAATAGATTCATTCAAATATCAACGAACATTTTATCTTCGAAGATAATCTATTTAAATGACATTTCATTGCCATTTTTTATGTCGAAATGATAACAAAAAGAGCATCATCTCTTTCGTATCGATCCATATACGAATCAATTAGACATGTTTCCCAAAAATACCTCGTATAAAATGTCATTTTCACAGTTCTACTGAATACTATCCATCCGTGGGAGAGAAATAGTTCATTTATTTGCCAGACTAAGTGATCCTTGATAAATTTTCATTGTTTTTGTCTTCATTGTTTGATTCTAATATGATTATATCGCGTACAAACCGTCTTCGGTAAACCAGCATTTCTCTCGATCGACAAATGACAAGTAACGTTTCTCTCGAAACACCTTTGATCGATAGTCATATTGGTTTGTACATTACAATAATTGTCTCGTCTCTATCCATGATTATCTCTACATTTGCTTGTATTCTGATAATATTCCTGACGATCATTACACCAAAATTGCATTCTCCAACGAACTTACTCGTGTCTAGTACATGTTTGAGCACATTGGTTTATTTAATCATATCCATCGTAAATAGTTTCATCTTCTATACCGATTCGAACTCTACAGATTGGTCGTGTCGAATTCGAGCTTATGCTTACTATGTTTCCTTGAACCTTGTGATTTACTCCTATGTTATCCAAGCAATATCGCGTTTATTTTGGACTGTTTTATATAAATATCGGTATCTGCTAACAATGAAATGTCATATACGTCTTCTAATTTTGAAAACAATCATTTCAACTCTCTTGCCATTATCAACTCTGATCACCGATCATGTTATTTTTCGTCCATTGAAACTCTGCGTTGTGCCAATGAAGTATACCATTCACGTTTTCTATCTTCTATCAGTCGGTTTTCTTATCCCACTGTTGATCATTACGATCCTTTACGCAATTATCTATCGACATATAATTCGTTCCACCGCAAATTTTCGACGTGCGACACGAGATGCTGAAATAGCTCGAAATATTCTCATTCTTCTTGGCATTTTCCTTCTCGGTGGTATTCCAACTGTGATCTATGTCATTGTTTCCAACAAAACGGTATCGTCACCGAGAAGTTTATTCTTACTCGCCGTTACGGCACCTTCTGTCGCAGTGGCGAGTGAGAGAATAATGAGTATTCTTCTCAACAAAGAAATTCGCAAAGCATTAACAATACAATGGACAGCCCGATTTGCTAGTGATCGTCTATCTACTACTGGAGTTCAACCATTAATATTCATCAATCAATCTGCAGGAAGAGTCGCTTACATTTCGAAACTACAAGAAATTCGATCATAAGTTAAACCAAGTAGGAATGAATGAGCGTGAATTAGATCATATGTTACACATAACCAGAATTTTATTCTTTTTGTTTGTGTGTGTTAGAGTATCGATAAATAAACAAACAAGAAAACAAAAGCGAAAATGATATAGTCGCATATACATTTTCTCGTGGTGCTTTGCTAGCAGAGGAAATAGCAAACTAAAAAGATCTGCGCACACAACAAAAACCTATCAAAGGAGAAAACGATCGTATTGTTGCTGATGAGTTTAGATTTATATGGTATCAATATCGATTGATATCAAGTAAACGTACGCCGAAAAAGATGGGAAATTTTGGTACGACAGCGAGAAGCATCGTTGCCAAATTAATCAAAAAGTGTGTCTTATCATATTTGGTATAAAAACTTGCAATGAAGAATCTACAAAGAAATCAGTAAAGAAAACCTATTTTCGGTATTAGCATTCACTTACAAAACAACCGGTACGATTTGCAGAAATTTCCGTGTACCTGTCCATTGTACTCCATCATCAATCTGTTCCCAAAACGTGAATCGTCGTGCTCGACCTTGGTCGCTTGTTTCCCACGGTGCACCTTTAACAACATGAAATAAATAATAATTACACTAGAACGAAATAAACAAATTAGCGTAAAGAAATTTCGTCATCAAAATTTCGCCCACTAGATTATGAATGGTTGTTGTTAAAGTCCATGCAACAGATGTTGTTATATAAGGTATACTGAGTAGAATAAAATGTAGAACAAAGACAAGTATGATATATGTTAACCAAACGCCACGACTGTTTAACCATGAACTATTTGGATTTCTCTCTCCTTGGGCGATACCGACGTTCATTGTTACTATCAATACAAACTGTACATATAAATCTAGAGACAGAGCGGAATTTGTGGCAAAACTCGGTGACGATTTAAAGGGTAAAATCTATGATTATGACCTTGAGTGTTTGACTAATAAAATACATTTACAAAACCTTTCATTGAAGAACTTCGATTGATTGAAACAAGCGACGTATACAGAAGAGCAGAAAAACAGAATATGATTCATCCAATCGGTTTTTATATTTACTATTGGTTATGACATCAGATATTTGACAACGTTAGAGGCCGCCCGTTCGTGTTAAATACATTTCGAATCGAAGGAAGACGAAGAAGAAAATTTTATTGAAAATCAAATGGCAATCCTTATATTCTTGGACAGGATATAGAAGGAAAAAAAAATAACAAGCTGCGTGTTTATAGATTCAATTTAATCGGTCTACGATTTCGGTTACGGTTACGATTACGAGTTGCTCGACGAATTAATGTCGTATTGCATAACTTATTCTTACAATAACGTCCACATGTTACATCTGCATTCGGTAATTTACAATCTTCTGGAAAGTTTAGATAATTACAAATAGGTTGATAACAAACAGCTAAAAGAACGTACAAGTTTCAAGCAAAACTACCTCCGTCATATCAAACTTACTAGTCAACATCGATGTTGCTTCAACATTACAGCTAAAATGTACATGGATATAGATTCAGAGAGAAGACTATACAACATACTAGGGCGTGTCACAGAACATCCATACAGATCGTCCATCGAGTACGAGTATGTCTTTTTCTTGTGGTGTCATAAAACCATATTCCCATGAACAACCGCGAGAAAGTGTGAACTCATCATTAGCGTTCAGACGTGTATAACATTGTCCATTGCATGGTGTACTATCGATTTTAAGTGTAGCATTGGCAATCGTTGCACATAACGGATTTCTTGAGTTACATTGATAACAACGTCCAGCTGCTGCCAATGCTGAATAGATGAACATATACATTAGAAAAAAAAAGGTGAAGTGAGGTATGACGGAATACAAACTCATTTCAATCCATAATGATAGAAGAGCAATTAGAACGATCGTTGTTGCTAATCGATGCATCTTCGACGAGAAGAAAATCAAATGAGTGAGACCTGTTCAACCCTGAGATTTAAATATTGCATTCTTCTTAACGCCTACGTTTTCAATATTTGTCGATAGAAGAATCCTGATTTTGAAGATGAAAGTCTGATTAGAAGAAGAAATTTGATTCCGAACTTGAAAGCAGGCGATAATATTGTTTTAGAAAAAGAACAATGACCTTCTAATTGTCAGTGTCTTACGTATATTTTTTCAAAAAAAGTCGAAAACTATATCGAGAGTATTTGGTTTCACATTTATAAATATATTTCAAGGAAACTTTCTATTAGAATCAAATTCGATATATGATAGAAAGAAAATAATTGATTTTTGCAAAACATGAACGTGATTTGGCTTGTAACCTTGTCTTCGCCTGCAAAGATTATCCATCGGAAATAAACGATCTATTCAACATTTTCATGTTTGCTTTGTCTTATCATCTGGTATCATGACCGGAAACGAGATTTGCCGACCATGTTTGATACCGTATGGTACTCGTTTGTATATGACAGAATCGATGTTACCACCTACTATTATCAGTTAGATCACGATATCAACAACAAATGAAAAGGTCAATAGAATTCGTTAAGATGTGTGTATATACATGATGATCATATCAGGTGAATGTTAGACATACCGAGAGGAAAAAGAAATAGATGATAATAATAATAATAATGATGAAGACTGCAAGTGAGAACGTCGATCATTTGATTGTAGGAGAGAATCAGAGATAGACAAGTCGATGTCGGTATTAGAAGCAATGACAACATCGGATGCAATGACTATGTCGGTTAGTTATTCAATGGTGGATGAAATCGAAAGGTACGACTGCTTCTCTTTTCTTGTCCCGACCATAGTTGAATGACATCTAGAGTACCGAATGCATGATGTAGGAAGAAAAAACTGCTTGTTTTCACGAAGGAAATGTTTTAAGACGATGATTTGAAGAAGAAATTGAATGAATTGATGATGATGAAATTGACCAGAGGTATAGAAAATATAATTATGTTACTCAATAAGATTTTCGTAAGAATGGCGTCATGACGACATATGGGTAAAGAGTGGAATATTTCTTTCCTCGTCGATTAACTTTGATCGTTCCTTGCGTTGATGTTGCTGAAGTATTTATAAAATCTTTTTTTTTCTTTCGAGATTTTCCTTTTCTTTTTTTTTCTTCTCATTAATTATTTTCATGTTTATTTTCATTTCGAGACATCGAAGTCGTGATTCGTACGAGCAAAGTTGATTCGACTGTTTTGTCAGATTTGTTTTTCGAATGTTGTTGTTGGACTAGTTGTTGATCGGATTGCCTAAGACATAAACGAGGAGAAACAGAACAAGGAAGGAGTTCTTCATGTTATCGATCTTCGTCAAATCTTTCGTTTTTTTTTCCTTCTTGCTCTATATATTTCTTTCTTATTCGTCCTCGCTCGCTCTACCACTACTTCTATCGATACCCCCTGGAGAAACAAAACAACAACAACAACGGCGGCAGCAAAGAGTAATAGTAAAAAATCGAGAGGATAGAAGTAACGAAAAGAAAAAAAGCAACGAATTGAAAACATGTTAAATTGATCAAAATAAAAAATCACTTCAATAGTTCGATGCTGTGTCAATTGTCTAGGTAGAAAGAAAAGAAGAAGAAGAAGAAGAAGAAGCCGAAAAAAAGAGGAAAGAATCATATTGACAATGACGACTTGTCAAGCGCAACAAATGCAACAATAATAAGAGAAAAAAACTCGTTTCTCTTACACTCTCGACTCTTTCTCGTCCTTCTTCTTTCTTGCGTGTTTGTATGTGTATAACTATGTCTGTGTGTATGTGCGTGTGCGCCTCCCTACGTGTTGTTTTCTTCATTCTCTTCTCTTTCGTGGTGTTGCTGTTTTGTATATTCTTTAGTGATGGAAAAAAAATCTTTCGTGAATGTACTCATCTCCTAAGACAGAACAGTTACATTACTCTTCTTTCTTCTTCTGTCTTTATCTATTTTCAATCGTCATTTTGTAGAACATAGCTTAGAATGAAAGATAGTGTGACACCGGCACCACCTTCGCTGCAATACCCCTATTATTCGCCAGCCTATTCACATCATCAATACGGTTCGCCAGCTTGGCATCATTCAATTTCATCTTCATCTCATCATTACGATATCCCGGTTTCATCCAGATCACCTTATCGTTATCCACCTGCGGCACACTATTATCCGTCCCATGTAAATGGTAGATCTCCTCAATACCAATCGAATGGGTAAGCAGAACTACGGGGGGAGGGGGAAAGAACGTTAAAGCCAAAGACTTTTTTCTTTGCTATATCTGTCGATAATTATGGCACTTTCAACTGTTGATGTTGCTGTTTCCTATGGCATATTCTCTCATTGAGAGCATATGGTTGCGTAGGCGTATTGTCGGAAACAGGATAGTTGTTGATGATTATAATTTTTCCATCTAGAGCACTTTGATTCTATGCCTATCATCCGTCTGCCATTTGCATCTCAATGTTTGCAAGTTAGATATAGATTAGATAGAAAACGTGTCTAGTTCGATATTGGATTGATTTAGAAGAAGAAAGAAAGAAAGGCAAAGAAATAAGACTAAATATTAATACGATGGCCTCGAGCGTCAAGGTTTTATTGTCAGAAGGTCATCAAAGAATTGAACATGAAGATAGACGAATGTGTGTCGGTTTCGTTCGCTGAATTGAGTATTACCGACGAATTGATCGTTTGCTCTTTGGCATGTGCATGATTTGTGTTTCTTTTTTATGATTTGACTTTTAGTTTTCGTATCAAATGAAGATGTGTATGGTAATCGGAAACCTTTCGATTTCTCATCGAGAGATTGTCGATTACATTTTCAAATTCTAATTGCATCATAAAAGAGAACTGTCGACACCAAGTTCTTTGTTTAAAGAAAACAAAACTTCGAGTGTGCTTTGACAAGTGAAGACTGTCGTGAAAAAAAAGAAGAATATCAACCTTATATCTAGTCGATAAATAATGACGGCGGATTGCGCCTATTTTCTTTTTCTCTTCTGCTATATGTATACAGCGAACAACGAGAGTAATTATTCTCAGACTGTCAAAATGTCAGATATATTCCATAGGCATCGACATACCGCCAGAGAAGGCTAAGCATTGTTTACTGAAAGTATATCTTTATAACAAAGCTGTTTGTCATGTTGACTATTAGCACTATTGAATAATTACACTGATAAAAAGAGGTTTCTGTTAATCTTCATTGAATTTACGTCACAAAAAAAAAGAAGTGTTGAAAGAAAGTTATCTTTCGTTTAGTCATATTCCATATCTTGAAGACGATGAAGATGCTCGATCTGAAGATGGTGAAGACTCCGATTCACCCAAGCCATTTGATAAGTAGGAGCTTTTGAACGACGATGATTTCATTCGAAGAATCAATGAAATTTTTTAGAAAAATGTTCATTGGCGGTCTTTCATGGCAAACAACACCAGGTAATTAGGGAGTCTCAAGCAAATATTTGTACGCATGCTTGTTTGTTTTTTAGAAAATCTAAAAAACTATTTTACACAGTTCGGTGAAGTTGCAGAATGTATGATCATGAAGGATGCGATCACTAAACGATCACGGTAAAATTTGAAGTTCACTGTTTTACGCAAATACGTTCATGAGATTCTTCAATTTCAGAGGTTTTGGCTTTATTACATTCAAAGACGCGAATTCGGTCGACAAAGTTCTAGCAAAAGATGTGCATATGCTCGATGAAAAACAGGTATGGTGTCTACACAGGATCATGTTCGATTGACACAATCGAATGTGGACTGACTGTTCGAAGCGACTTTCGCGTATAAAACAATGAGCCGATGAGAAAAATACAAAGGAAACTGATACTAATTGTGAGAAGGATATAATGAGGTAAAAACGACGACGAGCCATCGGATGATTGATTTTGCTGCGTATGTTTAGTGTAAATGAGGAGAAGGATTGTTATTAGAAATGCAAATAATGTAAATAGAATAAACATCATTGCAAAACGAGTATGTTCATAATGAAGAGATAATTCATCATACCAATCAGTGCTTGGATGTCTGATCATTGTTTGAAACTAAATAGATCGAAAAGCAAACAATGATTTTCCTTGCTGCCCGTAATTTATCAGGAAATGTAATTGTTTACTTACGAAACGATAGAGTTGTCAGAAAAAAGAGCCAACATCGACTGTAAATGTTTTCAAAGACGGGCGGTTTGTTTGACTTCTAATTCTTACTTGTCAACCGCACACAGACTGAACGAAACATTGCGTGCAGTGAGTTCTCTGATTACAAAGAATAGACAATGAAAGAAAACAAAGTTTTACGTTTTTATCCGATGACAACTTACTCTGTTATGCGTAGATTTGTACTATATCTTTCTTCGCTTGTCTATTCGACAGATGTTAAACTCTGATTAGTTCTCTCATTTATCACAAGATCATTCCATTATTAAAAACAAATACATAAGAACTTTTTTGTCAATAGATCGTTTTGTGTTATTGATTAGATAAATTTTTCCTTCTATGCGTTGTCTTTGCTCAAGGCAACTAATAAATAAGATGTGCTTTTCTCATTCAACAAGTCTTAGAATGAATGAATGTCGATTTAGATCTGATATGATTGAAATTAAACAACCATCAGTTAATCAATCATCATCTCTCGTTTTGTTTTCGTGCGAGTCGTGAAAAAAGGAGAAGATTTCGTTTCGCTTGATCAAGTTCCGACAGAATCCAACTATATGATGTTCGTTTATTTTTAGATTGATCCAAAACCGGCATATCCTCGACAGAAACATCCGAAAGTAAGTGAACATGTGCATCGGTAACTGAGATTTTCTTTGCATGTCAGACGAGAGAAAGAAAAATGGAAGCAAGACTGTTGTTATTCATCGGAATCGATCCGATAGACTGCTAAAAACGATAGCTATAGGAGATCATTTGCGAGAGCGTGCGTGTGCATCCGGTCGCCTTTCCTCTCTCCCCCCCTCTCTCTCTCTCGGATGTTCGTAAGATGACTGAAGGACATTCGACTTTGCTTAAGTCGGAAGATGGAGAAGAGGAAGGGAACAGCTCAGTCACAAAAAAAAATGAGAGAAAGAAGAAAAACACAGTCGTCTTCATCATCGTTTTCCGTTGTAATATATCTAGAGAAGAAAAAGATTTTCGAATGTAATCAAGAGAGAAAAAAGGAAGAAAAAGCATTCACTTCGTTCTGCTCATGATTATTCTTTATTGATGACAACAAGATAGAATGAATTGATGGCTAACAAAGATACAGTTAGGATCTAACTGTCGACTCTCAAGTGACAAAATCCATTTGATTTTCTATTGCACTCTTCTTTCGAACACGATTCATTCGTACGTTTACAACGATTAAATCTTCTTTTCACACTTACACATATACACCCTCACACACACACACACACACACACAAACGGATGAGTGTTGGAAATAACAATACATTAGTTCTATTCGACAATCTTGCTGCTCAAGACCTTCTTAGTAAAGCAAAGGTATGATTATCTTTATCAGAAATGATATTCAATCGTTTGTTGATGTTCGTCTTCTCTCCGTACTGACATTAGTAATCGTAGAAAGGCAAACTGTTGCTTGTATATATCAATATGAGAACGAGAAAATGAGACCGATTTAATTGAAGGATTGATTGCACCAACATACTAACATTCCTCGCCTTCTCCTTCTCCGTTTTCTTTTTTCCCCTTTTATTCTATTAACAATTCAGGCGCGTAGTTTTATTGTTTCACCGATTGTAAATATCAATAACAACAGGTGATTGTTTAGTTATCATCAATGGAAAAATAATACTCGCGAACTTTCGTGTCCTCATTATGGAAAGAATTTTTATTCATATGTGATAACCTTTAACCGTCTATGGTCAGCGGTTGGTCGATGTCGAAGATTTTTTTTTTCTTAGTACATGCAGGCACAAAGAAAGAAAAAGAGATGGAGGTGTAATTTACGTTATTGACAACGAACTCTTTCTCACCAGCGTTCTTTTGTTTCCCTGACCCTGCAAAAGCTTCTAACCATCCATCATTCTCTCGTTCAATCCAGTTAGACGAACGTCACTTCTCGTTCTCTCAGTCATTACGAACACCATCAACATCATCATTGTCCATCTAGTGGGTCTTTCTCTCACTCTCGTTCTCTTCTCTCTATTGTCGTTGCCGTCGTCTTCTCGGCTCGTTTGACTCTACAATTCTGAAATTTCATAGGACGATGCACTGTCGATAGCAAGTATATAGGCATGAGAGCAATGCATGTGTATGTATGTGTGTGCGCATATATGAGAGAGAATTTCAAACTCTTTCTCTCCCTCTCTCTACACTCGAGAGAGAAAAAATAAGAAGAAGAAGAAGAAAAAGAAAAAGAAGATAGATTTCGTTCTTCTCCATCTATCCCACTCATTCTTTCGCACGAAATGTACACATCTACCAAAACGTATCGTGTACATACGATATATACCTAAATTCAGTCACAATAATTGATTACTATCCTATTATGGCGACGTATATACTTTTGGATCCTAATGATATCGTTCAACAACAACAAACGATGGCAACAGTTGCTTTCAATAATGCGACGACAGCAACTCAAAATACTCTTCTAAATAATCATGCTAATATTCCGAATAAAAATTTGTCATCAAACGATGTAAGTTTCAATAAGAACATTACTTCCTATGTTTCTTCTTGTTCTTCTTCATTTTGATTTCCTGACCGATTGAAACGACTTTTATCTTTGCTGTGTATGTGTGTGTGTGTGTGTGTATGCATACACTCATCACATGTCTATTTGGCTAACCTTCATGCGATCGCACATCTAATGCGCAGAGTGTATTAAACCTTTTTCTCTTTTTCTTTATTTTGCTTTAATCCATCATCACCATCATCTTTGTTTATGCGAATTGAACTCTACCGACGGGTGGACAATCACCTTCCCTTTTTCTTTCTTCTTTCCTTACTTAGATTTACGTCATAAAGGTCATCACTAGCGGGTAAATTTGAATATAAAATGAGAATGGAAAAGAAAAAGACTCCGATCGTATAATCAAATCAGTGCGAGTATAATGTGTGTGTGTGTGTGTGTGTGAGGAAAAAAGAGAAAAACTATTCGTCGCTAACGCCGATTGATCGATTGTATTGACAGAAATCTCCATTTAGCCGTTGCCGTCTATTCTTTCTAATTAAACCCAAAATGATAATATCCTCAAGGGTTCCTAGAAATATATTTTCTTGTTCGCCCATAGAAATTTCGTATCGCTGCAGTAACACTACCATTGAATAGTTCTTTTTATTCTCTAGCTTTTAGATCTTGTTCGTAGCTATTGTTGTCGATGACGACGACAAGGTTCATTAGATCGATAGTGCAACATTTTGATTGTCGGCAATTGCATGTCGAAATAGAGTAGTAGTCTCTTGAGATACCTTGTATAGATATATACTTAGGTTGAATAATACATTGAGAAAATGGAGACGAGGAACGAGAGAGATGATGATCAAGAGACACCTACATATGAGATCCGTAAATCCTCGAATAAATAGCGACTGTGCGTGTGTAGGAGCAATCATTTATTCTTTATTCTTTCTCTCTCTCTCTTTTCAATATTACATATTTTCTTCTTTAGATGGTGACACGTACCAAAAAGATCTTTGTCGGAGGGTTATCTGCAAATACAACTGTTGAAGATGTGAAGAAATATTTCGAACAATATGGCAAAGTCGAAGATGCGATGCTGATGATTGATAAACAAACAGCCCGCCATCGAGGTTTGTCAACAAAATCGTTTTTTTATAATCTCATCTAATGAAATCATTTCATTGATTTATTCTAATCAGGTTTCGGTTTTGTCACTTGGGAATCTGAAGATGTTGTTGACAAAGTATGTGCCATTCATTTTCATGAAATCAACAATAAAATGGTAAATATTTGATTTTATTAGCAGAAGATAGATTTTTGTTCGGATGTCTTTCATATCTAGGTTGAATGCAAGAAAGCTCAACCAAAAGAAGTTATGTATGCTCAACAGATGGCGAAAGGCAAAGCAGCTCTACAACGTGGTGCCTATGGTGACCTACTCAGTAAGCGAATCTTCATTTGCTAATGGCAGACAGAAGGAATGAATTATAATTTCACTCTTTTTTTTAAAATCTAGGTGCTTATGTATATGGTCTAAATCGAACTATTCCAGCAACTTATGCAGCACCGATCTATCCGTTTTCGCATGGTATGTTCATTTGTTTTGAGACATTTACCGAGAGAAAATCCACTGTTTTCAGCGGCATCATGATAAATCTATGTCTAACTCAGGATCCGTATGTGTTTTTCTTCTATTATTAGATTATGAGCGCATAGAAAATAGGATAGAAACATAATCCAGATTATCTCTATGTATCAATTTAGTTTCGTAGTTCGTGATATAGTTTATTCTCTTCAATGAAACGTGCTGAACAGAAAGCAAACCGATTATTTATCTAGTTTTACTGATATGTGTGCTGGTTTTCTTTTGTGTGCGCACTATATTTTCGTAGACGGAATGTCCTCTACTGACGGTGAAAGTGTGCTCTAGCAATATGACATATTAAATTTAACTGTAGATTACTCCTAGTTGTTCTCATTTGATTTTATTAATCGAACAGTTGCTATTCAAAGAATCTAGATGACGATCTTTCGCAAGAATTTGATTAGAAGTACAGAACAAAACTGAAAAAGCATGTTTCACTGCTTTTATTTTCTTGTTTCCCTTTTGATCCCTTCGAAGTATTACTGATTTAGTTATATATCAACAGACGCTTTTCTTTTCTTTCGACTTCGATAAGAATCGCTCATTCATATTTCATTGTTCTGTAGGATTACCATCGGCACAGATCAGTTATATCCCAACGACCGTTGGTCTTCAAACGCCAACGTTGACACCGGCTGGTGAACAACGTTATTTCGAATATCCATTGACACCACAACCGATGCCAGCTGGTCAACTCGCTCGGGATTCTTTATTACAACGAAGTATGTCATTTCACTTCATTTCATGGGAATTTCTATATGCAACTAATGACTTTCAGGCGGTAATGGACTTGATTTCTTTCAAGCAGATCCACTTGCTGCTCAATACTTACAACCAACAAGTCCATCGCCTGGTTTACCTATTGCTGTAAGTTCCACATCTTCTCTTTTCCCACCTGAACTCAGTTTTTTCCACATAGACCTCACTATTGACATCGCCCTATCCCAACGGATTTCATGGTCATTAAATCGGTAAGAAAACATCAGTTTCATTCTAACTCCATATTCAACTTCGCTCTTCTAGACATTCTTCAGTCGACTGTACATTGTGTTCTTGCATGTCTGCTATTCTCATCCCACCATCCATATTTGTGTGTATTATCATCTGATTACAGTGCAAAGCCCTGTTTAAAAAAAGATCATCAAACAACATTTTTTTTCGACATTCCTTTGTCTTCCTCTACTTACACCGTACAATACATACAAACATACATATACACATATGCTTGATTATCACACATTATTTTTTATCTATTTGTTTTCTACACAAACATCTTTTTGTCGGCATGCATATTCTTGTTGTTTGTTTCTTTCGGATTTTCTTCTTCTTTTTTTTTTCTTTGTATGAGTGTTCAGTTTGTTTCTTGTGTGTGTCCCTTCTTCTCTTTTTGACAATAAGAAAGCAAAACTAACAACAAAGAGAACGATCGAGCAATACTCGTATTTTGTTGGTTTTTTTCGTCTCTCTCTGCCTATGTGATACTGTGTATGATTAGTAACATAGATTAGCAAAGGTAGAGTTATATGGTTAGAGAACAAATATAAATCAATAAGTTTTTTTTTCTAGGCAAAACAAGTACTGTTTTCTCTCTCGCTCTTTTTGCTGTCGCGTGTAAGTTTTTGTTGTTTCTTTTGCACTTATCATGATGGTTCTTTGATTATTTTGTTGTTGTTTTTCTCAACCGGTTTATCTCACTATTCTTTATCCCTTGGCATGAAAATTGAATTATCTGCAAATACTGTGTGTGATTGCTTCTTCTTTTTGTCGCCGTTTTGTTCCTTTCTCTCTCTCTCCCTTCTTTCTTTTTGCCGTTGTCATTTTCTATCAATCACTTCTCTCCGCGCGCATTGAAGAATAAAACGAGATCTCTGCTCGATCAAGCAAAAGTTCTTTGTTTTTAATAATGATAAGGACTATTCAATTCAATTCTCGTCCATGATTGATCTACACATAGCTTCGGAAATACACTGATCAAGGAGAAGGTTACGCCGAGATATGAATATACGTCGTATCGAATTCTAGGAAAAATAAATCACTAAAGGAATTCAAGGCAATAGAAAGGAATGGATGAACAAGTTCAGTTGCATCATGGAAAGAGTATATATTCATGGATGAATGTAGGAACGAAAGTGGGTTGTTGTTCGAGGGAGAATTGGATCAATCGGTCGGAAAGTTTCTGGTATTGATAAAGAAATGCTTTACTCGGCGTAAAATCATACCTGTGAAGAGGAAACGGAAGGACAGACAATAGAATCACTGAAATAAGTATCGCCCACCTTCGATCTCGAACTTCATATCCCATTGAGTGTTTCCGCATTTCCAAAATACGTTCGTCAGAAGTGCGACAATTATCTCTTTCAATATTGAAACTTCTGACTAAACAGGACATATTTTGCTTGAATAAGTGGAACCATTGCATACAATTCTATGCTTAATTGCCAATAACTATTATTTATAATTTAGTTCCTTATCTAAACTATCATCTTTATTTTGATTCATTATAGAAATATATACCGTTCAGTTTTGAGAAAAAAAAACAACATGATTTGACCGAACTGCACAAATCTGTACTATTTAGAAAAATATTTATCGTGCTCTTAAATCGCTTTGTCGGCCGAGTCGCGAGTTAAAACTGGTATATATTGTACAGATGCTTGTCGCTTCCTGAACATAGTTGTCACGAGAGTAATAAGGAATAGACCAACAACTATTGAACTTAAGAAAACTACCATTGCTTTGGCACTTCGACTACTACCTATAAAAGATCAACTAATTTACGGACTCGGGCAAAGAGGTCTTACTAGAAGGTTTATTTTCGCATTCAACTTCCGCCTTGCCCGGAAAACGAGGTTGATAGATTGTGGTGAAAATGTCCAGTGGACATTCAACCTTTGGACAACCTTCCAATAAATATGGCTGTGGTTTATTTGAGTCTGTCACATTGAGATATTCCACTTTAACATAGTATGTTTGATCTAGAATGTGAGTGAGAGATGGAATAGTGTGAATGATCGAATGCAGGTGAATTTACTTTGTTTGTAGAGATCAATGAAAAGAGCGGATGCATACTAGAAGATAAAGAGGGAGATAGAAGGTGTAACACATTTAGTTTATCTGGATATACTTGTGGTTGAAATGGATAATGGATGTGAAGAAAAGCTAATGCTGCACTGACTGTTGTATCGTGCTACGAAATGCGGTTGATATTCAATTAGTCGTAGAAGTAAATAATGTACTTACAGCTGAATACATTCTTAGTTTGTAAAACGTATCATGATGCACTGATCTATTCATATTTGACCAAATGTCTTGTATCACTGGACCTGTAAAAGATATAATGCTTGTCACTTCGGTGAATAATGATTCTGGGCTACCTGACCTCCTCTTATGCGTTTTACTGTATCATTTACAAACGAAAAGTAGAAGATAATGTTATTTATTTCTGCTAAAGTCTTTCTAACATCTTCGGTAGCCCATGCCGGTGCTTTGTTATGTATGTGCTAACGAGAAGAGAAAAACACAGAAAATATCATCTATCGATGTCAATATTTCAATCATTACTGCAACCAAAACACTGTCAGGGATATGTTGTGTGTTGTATAGAGTGATATTACTGGCATTTGTCCACATTTGGAGTTTTTCGAAAAATGGCTAAATAGACAATCGACATTCGCATCATTTTATGAAAAACAACAATCATACTTGATAAAATTCATTCAATTGTTTGAACGTTTCGCTCTGATAAGCTTCGTTAGTGATGCGATTGACTATGGGACAATCATTCTGTCCAAGAAGCTAAATGAACAAAACCAATCGGTCATGTCTTGTTTTTCTCTTGTGACATACAAAATCGTTTGCCGCACGTTCGGTGTGCATTGAAATAGGTTGAACGGACATTCGATTATTCGATATATTTCTTTGATGATACAAACCGTGAAGGTTCGATTCAGCAGACATCAATGTCCGATCAAAGTCCGTTGAACGAACAAAAATCTCGCGAGGATCGAACGTACTACTGAGAATCGATCCATATCGAGTGCGAAGATACTGACCAAGGCGATACTGTTGTTCAATACCAATGGATGTCAATTGACCGTATCTAAAGAAAAGCGGAAAGTTAGATGCGAAAATAGAACGATGACGAAAACGTACCCATTGGGCCAATTTTCTTCTTTAATTAGATTTGATGGATAGGACGCGAGAGGTGTGCGATCACCATGTCTGAATATCTGAAAAAAAAACTGTGAGAAAAAGATTTATGAACGGAAATTGACGTACTTACAACATGACCTGCGATCAGTTTCATACGAGAGGCATTGGCGCAAGTACAAAGAACGAAGAAAATCAAATATATGTACATTGGTCTATCGCGAATAAAAATATCGAAATCTACAATATTTCAAAGTACACCAGTGTTTAAATCCGTACTTTCGATCCACGACATGAATGACAGCAGGCAAACATTTACTAACTAGTTACTACTTGTCGGACAAATTCAACAAGAGATCGCTGCGTTCAACAAAGACTATCTTAAGAGTTAAAATACATTAATTGGTTACTGGCTATTTATACACAATAGATTGGTCCAATGACATGTGTCTATCCTTTCTTTATTTCAGACAAATAGTTATTTATGTGCGAGAAAGAAATGAAAGAATTCAATGATCAGTTTTATCGAGGTTCGTCTGTCGATATCGTGGTCAGAATGAACCAGATCATCCAGGGTATGCATCAAATAGAGAAAATAATCAAAGAGAAAGACCATTGAGCGGACGAATTACATCTGTATATCCAATCCATCAGAACATTTTGTTTATCAAACTATAGAGCCTGTTACCTGTTCTTTTTTATTTTGATAATAAAAATAAGCAGTTCACAACCGATGCCAAAAAAAAATAAGTTCATTATACAAAAAAAATACAGATAAAATTGCACATATCTTCGTGTTCAGTTAATATCCTTCGAGATTTTAAACTGTTGGTTCAGCGATGTCTGCAGACTCCAATGGCATGTATGAATTGTGAGATCGTCGATAGACATAGATGAAGAGAGCGATAACAATAACTGTAAGAGTAACAACTGCCACGCTCAAGCTGATTATCATTATCTTGTTATTTCCGTCATCACCTAGAATGAATATAGTAGTTAAAATAGAGAACATCGAATATTTACTTGGTGGTTTGTTCTTGCTTCCACATTCAACTTCCACTTTGCCTGGAAAACGAGGCTGGTAGATTGCGGTGAAAATGTCCAGTGGACATTCAACCTTTGGACAACCTTCCAATAAATATGGCTGTGGTTTATTTGAATCTGTCACATTGAGATATTCCACTTTAACATAGTATGTTTGATCTAGAATGTGAGTGAGAGATGGAATAGTGTGAATGATCGAATGCAGGTGAATTTACTTTGTTTGTAGAGATCAATGAAAAGAGCGGATGCATACTAGAAGATGAGAAAGAGAATAGAATGTGCAGATGTTAATTTAGTTGGAGTTACTTGAGGTTGATGTGGATAGTTTATGCGAAGAAAAGCTAATGCTGCACTAACTGTCGTATCGTGCTAAAAGTAGAATTTTTCCAATTATAGTTTTGAGTTAAATGCGTAACTTACCGCTGAGTACATCTTTAGCTTGGGAATCGCAAAACCGTGTTTAGATTGGTTCATATTTGACCAGACATCTTGTACAAATGGGCCTATACAAAATGCGAATTGTTACCATGGTAGCAAAGAATAATACTTAAGTATTTTACCTCCTCGAATGCGTTTTGTATCGTCGTCCAAATAAAGAAAATGAAATGAAAGTTGGTTGATAGCAGTGAGATTATTTCGAACTTCTTCAGTAGCCCATGCAGGCTCTTTGTGATAGAGATGCTAGAACCAATAATGTAACAGATTATACATTCATTTTCACAGGTAGATCCTTACCTCAACAAATATTGTATCAGCTATATCCCATGCATTGTACATAGTGATATTACTAATATCTGTCCAAACTTGAAGTTTTTCGAAAAATGGCTAGATGACAAAACAGACAGAATATTTGTTTCAAATCAAAGATGTTACTTTACCTTATAGTACGCATTCATTCTTTTGAATTCATCAGTTTGATACACTCCTTGTTCGATTTCATCATATCTCGGACAAGTGTTCACACCGAGCAGCTAAACCAACAAAATCAATAGAGTACGATTCAAACATTTTTTCATGACATACAAAATCTTCTGACATCGGTACAGTATGTATCGGAATAGGTTGAACAGGCACCTTGTCACTTGTTACATTCATTGCTGGATATAAACCGATCAGATTCGATTGTGCAGACATCAACGTTCGATCATAATCTGTCGAACGAACAACAATCTCACGTGGATCAAAGGTCGCATTTAGAATTGATTCATATCGAGTGCGAATGTATTGACCAAGACGGTGATGTTGTTCAATTCCCGTAGATGTCAATTGACCGTACCTGTAAATGGAAAGAGATATGTTTAATGATGAAAGAATGACAATGAAGTACCCATTGGGCCAGTCTTTTTCCTTCATAGGATCTGTTGGATATGTAGAAATAGGTGTGCGATCGCCATGTCTGAATAGCTGAAAAAGAATAGAAAGTTCGTACGTTTATTGATGACGATCGATGCACTTACGACATGACCTGCAATAAGTTCCATCTGTTGAGCATGGATTGTGCTTAAGAGAAGAATAAAAATACTAACTAAGTAGACGTTCATCTCAATGGAAAATATCTGAAATATAATTTGTATCTTAGCAAAAAAACAAGTAATAATATTATATATATATTCCCTATATGTTCACACTTTAATATTCTTCGAAGAAATATTCCACTTGGATATCAAAATTTACAAAAAGATTCTTTGCTATCTGACTAACATTCAAGACACATTCGACAATTATATATTCACAAATGAGATTAATAAAAGATCATGGGGCTATGCTGCGATAGGTAATTTTTGAAAAATAAAGACGCCAGATTCATTTTCACGGATTGCGTATATCATTAAATAGAGCGAGCGGAAAGTATTTAATGTGAGTATGCCATTGGGATGATATTTGAAAGAATTTGACATCATCCCATTCTTGACCATCAATATTTACTAAAATAAAACGCGAATTGACAATCCCAAGCTGTACTTTGAAATATAGTGGCTGAGTTGGATAGTAACATACCCTTCAATACAATGTTTTGTGACTTTGAGGTGCAAACTAAACGATTGATACCGGTTATTTCTTGTCGTTCAATGATTTTATTGAGTTTTTTGCCAAATTTCATAACTGAAATCAAGATTGCACACGAATGAAGTCCTTCGTGCCAATTTTCACTTACTTTTCTGTCGTTTTTCTCGCGTTATATACGTCATAGTCAATGACGGACAAATTTTTCCATCGACGGTTGTATCCGATTGTCTTGTGATTGTTAAAACATGTATATTTGCTTTTAAAGATGATTTTATCGTTCTGACTCCATCTTTTTTGTCTTTTTGGTTATCAATAATCGTCCAATAATCAATAGAAAGGTCAAACGGCAAGACCGATGAATCATCCATAGTAGAAGTTTTGATTAAATTGCTCATTAGTTTCGATGGCGGAGAAGTTGGAGATAAAAGCTGGTTGTTTTCATCATCCGATGAATCTTTCAATTCGCGCGTCGGATGATTTGTGATAATCGGCGTAGGCAGAGACGCGGATACCAGAACATTATCTTCCACTGATGAAAATGTACCCAATCGAACGTACTAAATCAAATCGTGTTCTGTTTCACAAAAGAACATCGTGATGCGAAGATATACATACGCAAAAGAACGGTAGAAATGTGGGCGATGAGTCATCGTCGGATCTAACAGGAAAAGCACGAATATTTTCAAGTTAATTGAGAAGAGAAAATGGTGTAGAGAACCTACAGTTTTCCTTTTCGATTGAGCATTACCTCACCCACTGGTAATGACAATGTACGCTGAGATGTTTTTAAATATCGAGTAATCTTCTGAGATAGATCTCGCACGTCTAAAAGACAAACCCACAAACTCGAATTGCCGTTGTTTCTTCTCCTAATCACCTGAAGGTTCATGATTCCCGAACAATACTTCATATTGTGGATCCAAACTACCGAGAAATTTCGCCAAATACGAAGGAACTAAACATCATACATATTGGCATGTTAAATAACTACTAGAACTTGCCTACATACCTAATGGAACGAAGTAAAATCGAAAACAAGCCATATATTCATGCGGTCGCGATGTTAAACACTCGACGTAAGCTTGAAGAAATGAATTTATGAACGCATCGTCACCCAGTAGTACAATTCGGATAACTGCTTGAGTTGAACTAAGAATCGAAACATGTGTTCTATTCAAGAAATTTGTTTTTCTACAAACCATTTCTGTATTCGTTGAATTAGATTGTTGAATACTCCTTTCGATTCACTCAATGTATTCAAAGCTACAACCGATAGATTATAATCTTTAAACTTAGCCGCTGTTATCTAGAAAAACCAGTATGAACTTAGTCTTACAAAATAGTTTAATGTACGTTCGTTTGATTTAGTCCCGTGTAAATGAAAATAATTGATTCGGGTAGACGATCATTGATGTAGAGCTCTTCCAATTGTTTAATAGCAACTACTGATGGTGGTAGTGCTTTCAGTTCGAGTACTGGCCATGGTTCTTGATAAATCTCCTTTGGATCATTATCAACACATGGATCGGATGTATCCGAATCGCAGGGACTATCATTATTGTTTACCGATTGCTTCATCAGATACGCATCATCTTCCGACTGTCATAGAGAAGGAAATTATTGTGGGAGATACATAGGAAGTTCGATTTTACTTACACATTTTAATAATTGTAAATGTTCGACAGGTGTAAAACCTGGTTTAGGTACAGATTCGATACTCCATTGGTCAACGGGAATAGTACTTTCACTGATATCTGACGGTGGATCTTCTTCGGTATCTGACTGACGATCAAATAGAATTCTCTCATATTGATGATCAAACTGAGTAGTTTCAGCTTCGTTCGAATTCAGGATTTTACTTGGATTGTTTCTCGCTTGAGCACCTTTACGTTTGAACATTTGAATTAACTTGTTTCGAATCACATTCGGATTGAATTTCTGTTTATTTTTACTATTGAATTCCATGTCACTATCTTCTAGTTCCGAATTAATTTCCTCTTCGTCGTTATATTCATCATCATCATTGAACGATTTCTCTAAAAATCCAAACGAATCAAATGTTCTACTCGGAAAAAGTTATTCTACCAAACTGTTGTTGTTTGTCAGTTAATCGATTCGATGCTAAACCCAGGTCCACTGGTTCGACTGCTTCCGATTCGTTCGGGATGGTACTCGATAACGATATAATCGAAACGTAACCAACTGGACGGCTTTGCCCTTCAGTCGTTGGCATATCCTCGGAAGTTGTTGAACGAACTTGTTGTTTACTTTTCTCATTGATATTTCCATATAAATGCAAATCTATACTCTGAGACTGTTGAATAATCTAGATAAGCCAACATCAATGAGATTCTTTCAATCGCATATCAACTCTTTACTTGATTGAGATTAATTTCACCTCTAGCTAATGTTTTATATCCAATCATAGGTCGATTCTTTCGACGCTGAATGTAGATTTGAATCTTATTAATATCCCGTTTGAAATAATGAGGATACTAGAAAAATACATGTCAGAAATTACGAATCCGTTAGCAAACTGAATACATACAGTGATTATATATTGTAGATTGACAGGTACATCTAAAGTCCCATCTTGTTGCAGAGGAATATCACAACAACGAAATGTACGTTTGTTACTCTACGGAAAAGATTGCTCAAGGTACGTAGTAGAATGATCCAACATTTTACTTGTATCTTTACAGCAACAACAATCGCATTCAAATCGCTGCCGTCGACAAGTCGATTTAAAACCAAACGAACAATTGTGAATTTACAGAGTCTAAACAAACAACATCTAGGTATATATTATTCTTGACGTTTATAGCGTACCGTGGTATACATGTGGAGCTATTATCGACTTCTAGCTGAGCGTAGGCCATTAAAGTAGTGACCATTTTGAGAATGAGATGGACTGATACGTTCGAATGTGAATTCTGAAGAAAATATTTTCATTGATCGATCGTTTTCAACTTCGTCAGATGGTAAATAACTGTAAGTCTTTGTCGGAAATATCTGACTGGTTGCAAATCAACGAATAGATGTCGTTTCCTTTGATTACGTTTCGCGAATAGAATCTATGTTAGAAAATCAACCCTCACTTGCTTTCGTTCATGTTTCGAACACTAGTAACTCGATCGTGTTTACCTCGAATTTATCCACGAGGTTGTCTTCATTTAACGACACTGAAACTGGCGGAAGCATCGAATAAAGATGTACAGGAAAAACCGTCGGCAAGTTTAACTGATGAAGTCAAATTTGATTATATTAATAAAACAGGTATAATTCTGTTGAATAAACCGAAAGCATTAAATGCTTTGTCATTATCAATGGTTCAACAAATCTATCCGAAAATGAAAGTAAGAAAAAATAGAGGAGAATTTCCTTTTCAAAAACAAATGTTTGTACGCAGGAATGGGAATCGGATGGTAAAACAGAATTAGTGATCATTAAGAGTACGAGTCCGAAAGCGTTTTGTGCTGGTGGTGATATAAAAGGTAAAAAATGGATATTGTAAATAAAATGTTGCCTATTTATATCATCTAGCACTTCTGAGTAAAACATCCGATGGTGAACGACTTCGAAATGAATTCTTCCGAGAAGAATATAAATTAAATAATCTAACTGGAAACTATCGATTACCGTACGTCGCGATTATCAACGGTATTACCATGGGTGGAGTAAGTCAGTCGAGATGTGGAAAGATCGTTGAGAATCTGTTGTTAGGGTTGCGGTTTATCGGTACATGGACCATTCCGGGTAGCAACAGAGACAACAACGATTGCAATGCCAGAAACAGCGATTGGTAAATGAATCATTTCGAAATAAAAACTAAATGATGATCCCTTTTGCAGGTCTGTTTCCCGATGTTGGCGGTTCACATTTTCTACCACGATTGCCTAACAATCTTGGAGTATTTCTTGGATTGACTGGTTACCGTCTACGTGGAATCGATGTGCTTCATGCTGGTATTGCTACACACTTTGTTCCGAGTGATCGAGTAAAGACTGTCGAAGTTAAGCAGCCAAGAAATCTTGTTGTATTTAGTTAGAAGAAGTGGAACGAAGACTTATCGAAATACCAAAAGCAAATTACAACTCCGTCAAAGAAGTTTTAGATAAGAGCAGTCAATCAGCGGTAAAGACGAATGATAGTTATAGTTGTTGATCTGTATGCTCTTTCCATTAGATTCAATCACAGCCACCGTTCAGCCTTCAAGAGCAACTGCCATTAATCAATCGATTGTTTTCTATAAATACGAAAGATGTCGAAACTATATTCGAGCAATTGAAATCCGATGGCTCCGAATTTGCTTCGAAACAATTATCCACACTGGAGAAAATGGTTCGTTGCTCACGTGAATCGTCTTGTTTTTTTTTCGCAAAGACGATATTCATTGTAGAGTCCAACATCACTTAAACTAACCTTCGAGCAGTTGAAACGTGGTCAAAAACTTGATTTGAAAGATTGCCTGATAATGGAATATCGCATGGTTCAGAACGTCATGAACGGTCACGACTTTTTTGAAGGCGTTCGATCTGGTAATTGTTCTTTCTTTCTTTCCTCCATAGAATTTTGATCGAAATTTTCATTCATTTCAGTTCTTATCGATAAAGATAACAAACCACAATGGAAACCGAATACACTCAAAGGCGTATCGGACAAAGATATCGAAGCATATTTTGCAAAACTTTCATCTTCTGATGATTTACGATTATGATAAGAAAAGAAAATCTTTGTTTTCATTTCAATAAAATGATTCCTTGATTGATGAAATAATTCTTATCGAATATTCCGTCTGAATACATTAGATCGACCAAAGTCGCTTTGATTAGGATGAATCGGATCGTATTTATTGTAAATCTCATCGATCAAAATTACTTGTGAATAAATAGCGAACAAGATGTAGAAAAGGCGTTTTCGCCTGTTCAGAGACGAGCGCTAGTGTCGATGCAAAGAATTCCACGAGAAGTAGCGCGTCTGCTACAATGAATTGGATTGTTGAAAGAGAACGAGAAGAAATGTTCTCTTTTTTATTCGTTCGACAAAATAATAACATAAAAATTCTCGTTGCACATTTTAGATCGTATTATTCCCCATGGTTCGTTGGAGTGATACGTTTTGGGGTGAAGGTAATCGAGGTTTTGAGGTCTTATCCACAAATGTGAAGAATGGAGCGATCGCCATCGAAGAATTTCAGCGATTTCTCAATGAAAGGTATTTGTCGAAATGTCGTCGTTTTGTTTTTCAATGTTTATTTATTTGTCACTATTTAGTTCACAATATGAATCAGCATATTGTAAAAATCTATCTCGTTTACAATCACAATTATTGAAAGTGCAACATGTTGGAACATTCACACCAATCTGGCAGTCAATACGGGATCTGCTGGAAAAAATTGCCTTGGCACATTCATCGACTGTCACTTACTATCAAGATCTACTACGCGAAATACATAATTATCATGATTTGTACCAGAAGAAGGTGAAAACATCGATACAGAAGGATAGTGATATTACTCGTACGGCTGATCTCGTTTCGCAGTTGAATAATGCATTGAATACGCTCAATAAAGCGAAAGAACAGTATCATACGATTGGTTTAGACTACGAACGAGCGAAACGTTCAGGAAACAATCTAACGAATGGTACATCCACACCAACACCACAAGATACCACAACATCAGCGAGTAGTCTAGCTCAAACTGCGTTCAATACGTTAACGTCAACAACGAGGCAATTCGAACGTTTAGAAAAAAAGTACCGACAAGCACATGATGATTATAAAGCATCGGTGGAAAAGTACAATTCAATACGAACCGAATTCGAAAAACGTTTCTATGAAGGCAAATTCTATTGAAAACCGTTCGAATCTTCCTATCGAAATGAAAATGTTCTTTTCGATTCTAGCTTGCACAAAATTTCAAGATTTCGAAGTGGAACACGTGGATAAAATGCTCAACTTTTCTCTGAATTATGCGGAAATACTTAAACGTAATAACGAGCAGACCCGTTTAGCACAAAATGACTTTCAAGAAAGAATCAAACAATTTACTGGTACCGATCTCATCGAAGGCTTCGTCGAACAGAAAAAAACAGGCGTCGAGCGACCGGGTAAATATCCTCATGCTCTTATCTCTAAATAAAACTATTTATTGTTTTTACACTCCCTATCTTCATTCCTCTTTTACTCTCTCCTTGACATTTGTTTTTTCTCAAATAGCTCCCATTCAATTCGAAGAATTAGACAATATCAAATCATCGTTAAATCTTTCATCATCGGTGACACCTGACTCAGCAGCAGGTCTATCCGACGAACTAATTACGTTCGATCAATCAGAGGCGAGCGCTCCAACGTTTCAAGTGCATTTTCCTGTTTCATCGCCGACAATGCTATCGAGTTGGCCATCGACAACAAACATTAAAAAAAGTGAAAGTAATCGAGGTAACGCTTTCGATGTGTGTGTGCCCTTTTTTGTTCCTGTGCTTATTCTATCCGATCCATTCAGCTCATCCTCATCATCATTATAACGTTTTACATGGTTTGTATACCCTCTCGAAGCACGCATCTACGAAGAATAAAAAAAGCAAAAGCGAGAAGAATATAGAATAATTGGATAGAGAGCTATTCCCTCTGCTTGCATACACGCAAGAACTTGTTTTTGCTATTGCATGTTTAAGATCTACGTGTGTCTAGTGTTTTCTAACTAATCAATGTCCACCTTTGTTTTTCTGACTAATCCAGAGGAAACTAATTGAAAACCGTTCGTTTCAGCCTTGGCTTCAAATGCGAATATCAATCATCAGCATGTCGCAGTTAATAATCAATCAACAACTTCGCTTGGTAATACTACACCAATGAGTCTGAGTAATCCTAATAATCCACTATCTCGTTTGCAAGAAAATAACAATGAATCATCATCTAATCCATTTAATGTGAAAATTCCACGGCCAGCTTTTAAAGGTATGCAGGCTAACAATGGAGCTTTGCGGATGATAAAATAAATCTCTAGTAGGATTCTGGCCGTCGAATCGTAAAGATAAGAAAGGTGATAAAAAGAAATCAAACAACTCAAAATCCACTAAAAATGATCCAGTACAACCCCCACCTGTGCTTGATGAAACTAGTTCAATCAATTCAGCAAACGAGAGTAATGGATTTCATAAAATGATGGGTAGTATGGAAGGATTAAATGATATTCCAAGCAGCATCACCAAAAACAAATGTGTAAGAAGAACATTATATTTGCTTCTGATATTATCGTCGTTTTTTTACATATAGCCAACACCAGAACCGTATACACAATCGAGTCCATCAATTTCCAGTAGTGGAATCAATCGTCCGGGATGTCAGAGTACAATTCCATTTTCTTCCACGGCAATGCGCAAATCAACGAGTTCAAGCGATTCGAGTGACGATGACGATGATGATTTTCGTTTCTCGAAAATCCAATTCAAAATCAATCCATCTACACAAAAGTCTCCCATAGCTGAAGAAAGTGATGATGCCAAAATCAGTGACGCTATGCTTCGTATGAATAAAAACATTGGACAACCGGCAACGGCTTCACGCGCTGGAGGACGAGTAAGTTGATTAGATAAATACTAAATATCATTATTGTTTATCATTTAAATATCATTATCCTCTAGGACGAGGTAAACATTAGATATTGTTTTGTCTAATTGTTGTGTGGCATGAAAACTAACGTTGCAAAGAACAAAAACTTCTTTTTTTTCCCTTCACATAGAATATTACACTTTTTCTTTCTACGTTTAGAAAATGCCGGATATGAGCAAGTCTTTGTCCATCGGACATATTGGTTCAAGAATTCCACCTCCACTTCCCTCACGTCCAACCTCGTAAGAAAGACAATCGTGATCTTTTCTCTTGCTAACCATGGATTTCTTTTCAGAACGCTTTCAACAAGTATCACAACAGATAATCTTCGGCCACTTCCATCATCTCCACCGTCTACATCATTAACCAATACGTTCGATGGTTTTGAACCGCGTTCACAATCGATGAGTATGTCGTCGAATCATCAAGAAAACATCCCACCAGTTCTCATTCATCCACGTTCGATGACGACAACATCAACAACAGAAAGTATGATTAAGATAAAATTTCATGCGTCCTCTCTTTGTTCGTCATCAAATTTCACTTCCTTAATGGATCCATTCAGGCGCTCTAAATATAGACACATATCGCCTGCAGTTCAATTTGCCCCTCTCCCTTTTGTCAGCATAGAAAAGCAAACAGCGAAAAATGTCAATGAATATATTACGATCGTTTGCATAGAAATTCAACGAAAAACTGTTTGTTGTTTAGGTAAAAAACTAACATCTATATCGTCAACCGACGATGATACTGAAGTGGCAAATACATTTCCTGGTGATAGCTCAATCAACAAAGCAGCTCCATTCACTATTCCACGGCCCCCACGACTTCGTCAAACGCCTGTAAGTACCATCTTATGTACATTTGTGAGAGAAAGATTTCTCTATTTATCGATCTTTTAAATATGTACTTCATGAGAAAAAATCGCATTCGAGATACCAGATCATTCAAATTCGAATGTCACTCATTGAAAATATTCGTTCTATTGGAAAACTTTCGATATCGTCAAAAGTGATCGATTTTGCGAACCTTTATCCACCGTTAACAAGAAGAACAAGTATCTAGTCAATCATTTCATACAGCTTGAGACAGTTCATCGACATCGTCGTTTAGCGATGCACTTTCTATTCGTAAACTCCTTGAATTACATCGTCTAAACTATTTTCCTACTATATTAGATTCGTTCGATAGTTCTTCATATGCATTTTGCCGACAAAAATATCATATTCGCTGCTTAGTATTTAAATTCCGGACATTTGATATCTCATTTCCTCTCTAGTCACATCAACCAGTGATGGGTTCAACTGGTCCGTCAATTGCCAATGGCCGTATGACACCATTCATTGCTCCCAACACTCCACACTTCTCCAATAGTTTAATGACATCGATGGATCAACGCATGTCTCCACTAACGATTGGTGCTACAGATCAAATCCCTATTGCAGTTGCCTTTCAAGAAACAATTCATGTTATGATGTCGAGTGATGATCAAACAAAGTAAATTTTCATCTACTTATATCATATCGAATTAGAACCCTTGTTCTTTTTTCAGATGGAAAATCCGTATTCTTGGTGACATGCTTGTCTCCTTCCCAGCAGCTATCTTAAATCTATTAGTTGACCAATCACCTCATTTGAACGCTTTGGAATTTCGTCTACAAAATTTAAATAAAGTCGAAAATGTTATTGCTAACCCTCAATTAGTCTCACAGTAAATCAACACCGATCTAATTTCAACTTCTCTATTTATTCTTCTCTATACGTAGAAAATCATCAACGCCAGATTCAGAAGGTCCTATTTACACGTTCAACATGGCTGCTCTTAGCAATATTCTTCGTAATCTTCAAGAAAAAAATCGTTCGTTACCATTCTTCAATTTTGGTATACTTAAATATGAAGTAATGACGAAAAGTCGATAATTTCCTATACACTCATCGAATTTGCTCGTTCTAGGTTAAACATTCGGGTACATCAAACATACCCATTCAAGTCACATCTCAATGGACACGAACGTTCGATACAATAACTGTTAATATCAATTATCGTTTTAATAGTTCGGCTCTGCCGGAATCGATTCGACTAGTAAATGACATGGTTACGTTCTACACGAATATTCCCGATGGTCAACAAGCAACACAATCATCCCCGACTTGTGAATGGTAACGACATGTGGATTACTGTTTTCAGTTTCTCTATACTCACCGATTGATACTCACTAGGTGTTCGAATGAGCATAAATTATCCTGGAAAGTTCCATACATATTCGATGGATCTGGTACACTTTCAGCAACATTGATGACCAATCAATCAGCGTCCGATGGTAACGATAGTGATCAACAACCGAAACCACTGACCACGTCATCAGCTGTTCATGTGCAATTTCTTGCTGAAAACGCACTTTTTTCATCGATTGGTTTCGAATTCGCATGTCGTGGCTATCGTGTTTCACTATTGAAGAAGAAGATCGCGAGTGGTAAGAAGAAAACCATCACCATCATCCCTATTTCTATTCGCATTTCTTTTCGTCGTAGGTAAATACCAATCAGAACCAGATCAGAGTGAACCTTTGCAATTCTTCAAACGTCCATCAACGGATCAGAGTCGCATGTCTCTATCAACACCCCTTGTCGCTTAACTATTTCGCTTAGTCTTAGCAGACACGATGTGCGATATTTAGTGTGAACAGTTGAATTTATTTACCTTTACCTTTTCTCATTTGGTTATCATACAGTCTCTACGCACATCATTCTATCTTTAGCTGCCATCACATATCCCAACTCAACCTGTTTTGTAACCAATCAGAATCATCGGAGAGAAACTTTCTGAATCCCACACGATATGTACATTTATTGCAAATATATATCAAATCATATATCGTTCAAAATTTTCTTTTTCATTCTATTTTATGTTTGTTCATCTATATGAAGAGAAGATAATAAAGAAGAGAATCAATTAAAAGTCCATTGCACTGGCTAATTTCTCTTTCATTAGAAGAATATTTTCTAACCATGTTTGACGAAAACGAAACTTGTCAGGATAATGAATCAAGCGCATGGTTTCGAATGTGAATGAAACTGGAATAATAGTGTTCTAGAAGACGAAAATTTCGTTTTGAAATGTTTTTCATAGGAAGATTCTTACTTTCGGCTTCACTTTTGAAATATCAAAAGTGAAATATATCGACGCAGTCTGTTTCGGAATGGGTTGCCGTCGAGTTGGAATAGAATACTGAACCTATGAACGAAGACTTCTATTGACTAATACTTGCAATGTTCAATTCCTACGCGATAGATATAAAGATCGTTGAATTCTTGCGATTTCTTCTCGATGAAATCAGTTACATATAACCAACATGGATCTTGACCACTCAGCGATGTTTTCCATTGCTGAAAGACAAGTGTTCAGCTTAGATTGAGAATCCAAACGAGAGAACTTCACCTTATCAATGTATTCATTGATTTTCTCCAAGCCGACATTTGTATTCTTGAACTCTTCAATCGTTGGCCATTGTACATTCGACTGTTCTTGCGTGTTCTCCAATTCGACGAAACGACCTCGATCTTTCGGTTCTTCCTTGTCACTACTCATATGAACTAAAGATTGCGCGACCACTTCATCGACAATTCGATGTGCTTCATGTGCTAATAGATCGTAATCTTCAGATGGAATTAGTGTCTAAACATACTCGAAAAATCAACTTGACAAAGTACACAACTATCAATTACATACCTCAGGCATGTTGTTATTATTACCAGTCACTGTGTACATTGTAAAATGTCCAAACACTTGAATTTCATCGATTCTAGTCTGTTGCCATGGTAAATATTTAATGTATTTTATTGGTGAATAAGAAATCCAATTAAAAATTTTTCTTTGAAATGTCCAATGAATACCAAGCATTCATTCTCTTTCTTTTTCCTTCCTTTTTTCATGTCCTTCGTTCTATTCCCTCGCAAATTATTATTGTCTTTTTCTTAGTTTCTAAATTTTTCAAGAAAGTGATGTGTTAATTATTAACATTGCCATGTTTGGCAACAGACCAGAAAGTTTGGGGAAAACAGAACATTCCGTGTCATCCGGTAGGTGAGTTAATCTGCATTGGAATTCTTCGATTCATCGCTTATTTTCTCTGAAGATCACTTTTCTCCACTCAAAACCCATTGAAACCAATCATGTCGAAAAAGAAAGATCAAGAAAAATTCAATGCCTATGCAATCAATACTAACGATGCATGGGAAATCGACGATAGAGCAATGACACTTAGAATACTTGATAAGAACGACACGAATAACACAGATGATAACGATGATAGTGGTTTAACCAGTCCAAAACAGGTCGATTTCCGTCAATATCGAGTTCGATAGAGTTTCATTTACGAAATTTTTCAGAAAGCCGAAGACATCCTATTGACAAATGCTCAACAACAAAAATCTACAAATGGTAAGAAGGAGATTGTGGATGAAGACATCATTGTTTTGTTCATGCTTGTAGCTCGCCGTTCAAATGTATCAACGAATTCAAGCTCAACAACTCATTCAGGCCTTGGACGACGACTAGGTGATCCATCAAATGCCAAAATATCCGTGCCATATCGTTTCACAAACAATAGCAACTCTTCGATTACAAAAAATGCTAAATCGAATATATTGGATGTCGATCAACAAAAGGAGAATAAATTCAAACAAATATTCGATCAATCAACCGTCGATCTAAGTAGGACTATTCTTTCTTCTAAAAAAAAACAACAACAAATGATCTACTCAATTTCGTTTGTTTCAGATGATTTACGAAAAGCCAGTTGGAACGGAATTCCTAAACCATATCGTCCACAAGCATGGAAACTACTCTGCGTAAGACTTGTTCAAACAATTGTTCGATCGTCACCCTCTCGTTTTGTTTAGGGATATTTACCACCTAAAACTGAACGTCGAGAAGACACATTATCGCGCAAACGCGATGAGTATTGGTCCTATGTCGATCAGTATTATCATACCAGAACGGATAGCGAGCATCAAGATACATTTCGACAGGTGTGAACATGACATTTGGTAGTTTCGTGTGTACATGAACTTTCTGTTATTCAATTTAGATTCATATCGACATTCCACGCATGACTCCGCTCATGCCAATATTTCAACAGATCCTAGTGCAGCAACTGTTCGAACGTATTTTATTTATTTGGGCTATTCGCCATCCTGCGAGCGGTTATGTACAAGGAATTAATGATCTTGTCACGCCGTTTTTTGTCGTATTTCTCTCCGAGTTTGTCGAGAATGGTATTTCGTATATATTTGTTTTGTTTCGTTTGAATGTGAAGGAAATCTTTTTAGATGCTGATATTGAAAACTTTCCTGTTGATTCATTATCAGAATCAGACCGACGTCTTATCGAAGCGGATAGCTATTGGGCGACATCCTATCTGCTCGAAGGTATCCAAGACAATTATACATTTGCTCAACCCGGTATTCAATATAAAATTCGGGCATTAGAAGAATTGATCAAACGCATCGATGGTTCGTCGAAAACAATCACTTTTCCTCACCATATAACATTTTCTTTCTCTTTGTTGTTAGAACCACTCTATCGTCATCTCAAGAATCAAAATATCGAATTTTTGCAATTCAGTTTTCGTTGGATGAATAATCTTCTCATGAGAGAGCTACCTATCCGATGTACTATTCGTCTTTGGGATACATATCTAGTAAATCCTCGCCAGTATATCCTCAAGTAACTGTAGACTTATTTTCATCTAGGCTGAACAAGATGGCTTCTCTCAATTTCACTTGTACATATGTGCAGCGTTTTTAATTCGCTTTTCCAAGAGCCTTCTACGTGAGCGAGATTTTCAAGTAAGAGACTAATTCACGCTAGATAATCAAATTCAACCTTCCTTTTTTTTTTAACTCAATAGGGTTTACTACTTTTTCTTCAAAACTTACCGACACATTCATGGACAAGCAATGATATAAGTATACTAACAGCGGAAGCATATCAATTGAAAGTGATGTTTGCCGATGCGCCAAGACATTTATCAAATTCATGAACAGTCACTGTGAATCTCTTTCATTGCATTCGTTTCCCTATGTTGACCGTTTATCTCGGCAAATCACTAAGCATATAACATTTTCCGTGATGAACTTTCGAACAGCAAACAATGATGATTTTATTATCACTACCTACTTTTTTTTTCAAAATAGTTCATTGTTATGAAAAGATATAAATATTGATTTTATATACATGTTGGTAAGACTGTTTGTTTTATCCGAAGTCCATGCGAAGGTCTGACAGTGAGATGATCATTAGTCATTACTGATGATGTCTATAAAAAGATAGAGCAGCAGAAGAAATGATTGCTAATGACACATGAAGAGAAAAATGAGCTTTTTTCAGTTCCTGTTCTGAGGGGGAAAAAAAAGATCGGTCCATTGCCTTTTTTTGTCGTTCCTATGCTGCATGGAAGATAGAAGAGGAAAAACAGTCTAATCTAATCAGTCTTGTTTGAAGAAGACAAAGAATAGCAGTGAATATTCTCGATGGTTTCTTTTTTTCTTGTTTCAGATTTATCTTAAACTCTTCTTATATCAATCAGCCATGTCTGCAGTTGAAAACAAGCAGAAACTAATTCAACAGTTACGTACCGAAGCTAATATTGATCGTATAAAACTTTCAACTGCATGCAAAGATTTGATTAAGTTCTGTCAAGATCATGAGAATGGTGACGTTCTAGTGATCGGATGGGAGAAATTCGATAGTGATAATCCTTACAAAGATAAAAACAAATGTGTTCCACTGTAAAACGCTCTCTCATGGGGCAAAACCATCCAGCATTCATATTCTTGGTTTAATGTGCAATTTGTCGTGACCGTACAATATTGTTGAATGTTCATTTTTCTTCAGTTCATGTCTTTGTACGCGATATTTTTGGAAAATTTATTGCTTTTGTCAAAGTTATGATAATCAATAAAAAGAATGATAAATATTTGATCTTTATATTTCCTTTTTTCTTTTGATTAAATCTCGTCAGAAGATCGACGAATGTTTTTGACATAGAGGTGTGGGTGAACGTATGAAGAACGTGCGTGCAGATCGGCTGTCTTATCTTTTCTTTTTTATCTCGTTCATCAAAAATAACTCAGGATAATCAAATACATACAGAGCACATAATGTGCCTGCAATCCTGGATTCTATCAGAATATAGATTGTTTGATTTCTGGGCAAATATGTGATTTGTGTTTTCCTATCACCCTGTTTTACACCGGTAGTGCATTCAATTCTAAAAGTCAACGATAGATAGAGTGACAGAATTCCGTTCTTACTAATGTCTCGACGTTTTCAATAAAATATTATTTGATTAAATCCAATCTGTCAGTATGATGCTGAAGTTGATCGAAAACTATTCGAGTTGTATAAAGTAAACCTACTATATCATTGGGTCAACATAGATCTGTACTTGAGCGTTCATCAAAGTGCCCTACGAATGGGAACAAACTTAGTTATAATCATCTTTAAATGATCCACGTGCGTGCAGAATCAAGAAAAAGTTCAACCAGTCTTTCCTGAAGTATTTCATCTGTTGCTTTTTTTTTAAATAGTTTTCTCGATTGAACCTCATGCCTGTGTAATACTCGCTTCGAATTGAATGAACTCGACGTAGAGATTGCATGTAGATCGTATAACTTTTCGAAAAAGCAGGGCGATCTTACAAATCAGATACAAAGGACTCGTCACTGACATGCAATCGATGCTTTAGCTGCTGCTGCTGCTGCTCATATACCGCTAGACGCAAGAATCTCTCATTACAACTGATACGAATGTTTAATTAGAAATTGGAGCTGATAAAACTTATCAATAATTATCTGTCTGTACACGTATATTAACCTTCAATAAAGTAATCTTCCATACTCTCGTCTAGAATTCAAGTTATTAAACATGAAAATGAAGGAAGAGATCTGACATTTGTCTAAATGTCATTAAAGCAAACAGCAAATGAATCGTCTGTGATTGACATTATTTGCTAATCTGAACGTTAATAAACGGCATTTTGCCAACATGGAAAAGTTTTGTAATCAATGTAGTTTAGAGCGAATGATTTATTGCGATAAGATTTCGTACGAATAGGATCGTTGCTTCGTTTTGATTAGTGTCTGCTGATGAAAAGGTGATGAGGAGCAAAGTGAAGTGTCTGATTTCCATGTCGTTGGCATTAGAACATCATATCTTGACGGAAAACCAAATATATGTCTTTCAGTGTATAATTCAATTTCGGAAGTCAACGAATCGGTTGAAGTAAAAGTCGATATGGGTTGAAAGCGTGGTCGAATTACATAACGATCTACTTCGAGAGTATAAGTGTTCAAATTATCATTGACGGGCATTAAATGTTCGCAAGATTGCTGCTTACGGTGTTCATTGTTGAACGAGATTTCGTAAATATTCGGACATGAATGAACGATCCCACCTGATGTAAGAAAGAACTCGTCCTTATCCACCTGATCTTCATCGTAAATATTTGTTCCAAATACATCCGGTGTCGTCGGTTGAATAACATATGAAAAACAGGCTGCTGATTTGTCTGTAATATGATTAACCATCAGAGCATTGGCCATTGTTCCATCTGGTATTGTCATTGCGAAAGAATATTGATGAAGTGTCAGAAATGATTGACAGTTTTCAAATCGACAATGATGATTCGCGTTCTTTTAAACGTATCCAACAATGCTAGTGAGACGTTTTCTTTCTCTCGCATCTTTTCTTTTCACTTGCTCTGCCATCATCATCATTAACCGTACGTCGTCTAATATCATCGTCAGTGAGAGATAATTCTGAATCGACAAATATAATTTATAGCATCATTCCATTGAGGATTTTCCTCGATGTGCTGTATAAACAAATCAATAGAAATGTCCGTGTCCCTCGTACTATTCACCTTGAGAAAACAAAACGAGACAAGTATCAATGAACGCATGTGTTCCCTCCTTTTGAAACAATGTTCGCTTGGCATCTGTTGTACCGATCATATCGAATAAAATATGAAGCGTTTGACCTCGAAAGACAAAATGAATGCCGATGATTCGTGCTGTCAAAAATTAGTATTCAAATCTGGTCTGATCTCTTCTTTGTTGTGTAGTTAATGAGAACATACTTTAGACTAAATGAATATACTCGAGTGAACGATGATTCCGATTTCTTCGTGAAACAAACAGATCGAAATACATCTAATCTCTGAAATAGTTGAACAGTTCAGATTGAAAATCTCCTAGTTAGAAATCAGATCGACGACGGATGCCTTTGTGACATGAAAATAACAAATGTTAATGAACTTTCTCGGTTTCGAATCATTGATCAAAACGATTATACAATTGAAAGAGAAAGGGAAATATGATATCACCAGTATGTTAATTTCCATATCAAAGAGACTGAATATACTTTTTGACTATGGTCAATAGTCGTATGCCTATTATAGCTCA